CTCACTCTCACTCTCACTCTCACTCTCACTCTCACTCTCACTCTCACTCTCACTCTCCCTGCCTTTTTCCTTTTTCCCTGCCTCTTTATATCTCTCTGTCTATCTCTCCATCTTTCCCATCTCTCTTTCTCTGCTGCTTTCCCTTTCTTTATATACAAAATTCCAAGCAAAAAACGGCCCCTTTCCGAAGCTTATATGAAGACGAAAATTTTCTGGGCATGGGGTTCCTTATAATCCATTACAAATTGAAGTCTGTAGAGATTTGGACTAAAATAAATATGCATTCATGATGCCTAAAAGGTTTTGCAATATTTTTTTTTTTGGGAAATACCCTATAGAACTAGAAGTTATTATTTATATGTTCCCAGCATTAAAGACATTTTGTTAAATTCTGAAGCAAAACCCTGTGATTGGCGAGTGCTTGGCGCATTCGGTTTTCTCATCGACAGAAAATGATGAAAAATATTGAATCAGCATATGGAGCTACGTTTGTGATCGGTTGTCAGGTAACCCAGCCGGTAGCAGCTGGAGAGCATGTAGGGTGGCTCCTTTGATAACAAACAAATAACGCACGCGACCCCGATATAAAAATTCAATAGTCCTCGTGCGACTCGGGGCGGGAAGCTCTTTGAAATCATCTACATCATCAATTTTTGCTTAGTTTTTGCCCGAGTGGGGAGCGAAACTCGGGCACGCACTTTGGTGCTCCCGTAGCGGCCATAGAATCAACCAATGCACACAGTGGGAAGCCAATTTCGGTAGCTTTCGCTGTTGCTGTTGCTGCTGCTGCTGTTGCTGTTGCTGTTGCCGTTGCTTTTGCCCTGCCAACAAACTCGCAAATCGCAAGCTTCGCTGCCTGATGCCTGGCAATAAAATATTCATTTACTTGACATTTGTTGTTGTTGTTGTTGTTGCTTCACAGGATGCATCATTCAAGTCGAGTCCGTGGCACGCCCACCACAGCATCGGTTCAGCATTTGACACGCTTTTGGGACTCACACACCGGCAACTTTTTGCACCCTTCATAAAAAATGTAATTTTCAAAAACATTTGGAAATTTCAAATTGAATTTGCCGCACGCTTGAAGTTTGCTGCTTTGGATCCGGCCCCCTCCACCTCGCTCCCTTAACAACTGTATGCAAAGCATCTTCAAGATTACGCGAACAGCCCAGCGCGGCCCAGACCCGTTCCAATACATAAAAGAGGAGCCCAAGTTTTAGGCTGAGGCTTTGGGGGTTTAGTTGCGGGTGGCGGCTTTGCTGGTGTAAGTGACATGAAAGGCGCACAAAGCACAAAAACCTTTAATAACTTTACGCTCTTTGTTTTCAAGTGCACTTTGCCAAGTGTGTGCCACGCCCATTCGACGCCTACACTTCCGCCAGCCGGCACCCACCGCCAGCGACTGCACAACTTCCGCTTTGAAGTTTGTGTCGCACGCGTTTCTTTTGGAGCCCGGCCTCAGTCAAACTACACCAAGCCAACAGGACGAGTCCTTTAAAACAAGCTGCCCAGCCATGCCCAAAAAAAAAAAACGAACTTCAGCCCATCCCAATGTATAATTTATGACCTATTTATTGTCAATAAATGCAGCCTCCGAGCGACCATTTCGAGCGCTGCGACTAAATAAAGACAAATGAACCATCAGTTTAGTGGGTGGATCGAGACATGTGCTTACACACACACACACACACACACACACATATAAATACTTCGCATCCGCATAAAAAACAATGGCAACTGAGGTACTCATCACACACGCCAAATGGGCAGTTTTTCCCTTATCTTTTTCTGCTTTTAAAGCAAATTTATGGCCCAGTCGATGTCGATATTTTAGCTGTTTTATCACATCTAAGAGACAAAATGTTCGTAATCTTTAATTTATGTAAATTTTATGCTCATCAATATTATTGTTTTTATTTAAGAGCTTAATATTTGATGAGACTTGTTTAGGATGAATTTTTAAATAATTTAATAATATTTTAATATTTTAATTAATAGCTTTTTTAGCAGATGTTAAAGGTAAACTCTGACCAAATGTAGCCAGCGAGTTAAGGGCTGCGCCTAGAAGCTCAGCAAGTAAGCTAAATTTTCAGATACTATAAATGATCTTTTTTAGCAAGCTTTTAATGCTAAATGTATATCATTTTATTGGTCTCAATTTCGATTGCTGGAAATCAAGAAACTAGTCTAAAAGTCTAGCCTGTTTACTTGATTAGTTAAGCCTCTGAGTCTATGTCCTAATTATACATAGAAAAAAACTTTTTCATATAGCTGAGTTTGCTAGTTTTTTTTTGAGCTTCAGCTTGCTAAACAATTTTAAATGTGTTTGCCAATAGCAATTTAAGCCTAAGAAGATACATATATCATTAATATTTAAAATTAATTTAGTAAAATTAATAGTAAGCGATAAATCTAATATAAGCTTATACTACTGAAGTACTTAATGAAAACATTGACCTTTACCTTTACCAAATAAGCAAATTATCTCCATGACATTAGACGTTTTTTTGTTAGACCATAAATGAGTATAGGTCAAAGATCATAGCGTATAGAGTATAGATTATTGGGTGTTAGGTAAAATGTATAGGGTATGAGGTACAGTGTATAATGAATAGGCTGTAAGGCACAAGGTATAATGTATAGAGTATAAGCTATTGGAAATAGTGTATGGGATATAAAGTACTAGGCATAATATATGGAGTATAAGATATCGGGTATAGAGTTTTATGTAAGTTTACTATAGTGTATGAAGTATATAGTATAGGTATATGGGATATAAGCTACAGGGAAGGATAAATTAAGCGGGGCTTAAGCCAGCAAAAAACTAAACATGTTTTTTGCAATTTTAATTAATTAATTAATCGCATATCGTATAGCGTACATCGTATATTGTATATCGTATATCGTATATAGTATATCGTACATCGTATATTGTATATCGTATATCATATATCGTATATCGTATACCATATATCGTATGTCATATATCATACGAGTCATACTAAGATCTACAAGCAGACTATCTCAGAGTTAAGCACTATTATTATTAAGGTATGCTCCATGGCTTCAACATTTACAGACGCTTGCTGCAAGCATTTGGCAGCGCTTAACAATATTATGCAGCCTCTACCCACACTGGCGCTTAACGTAATCTATAAAACAGGAAAACAGGCAAGGAAAAACCACCCACTGAGGTTTACACAAAGTTAAAATATCCCTTTAAACGATCCGTCGTTCAATGTTTGCGTGTGTGTGTGTGTGTGTGTAGGTAAAATGGCATCAAATATAATAACGACCACAACAATGCGTGACATGCATGCAAAAATTGTTGGCCTTAAAGTGTGCATTAGCTGAAGCTCAGAGTGTGAGTGTGACTGTGCGTGTGTCTGTGTGTGTAATATTTTTCAAACACATATACGCCAAATCACTTTCTAAATGCAATGCCAATAAAAAAGCAGACCGAAGTGTTGAAATATATATATGTATATACATATATATATATATATATATATAAATAGATATGGGCTAGATATGTGTGCAGCCGCAGATATAATTTGTTGCTGCTGACAGAAGCGTGTCGCAGCCCGAGGCAAGTAGCAAATGAGAAATGAGAAATGGATGCGCTACGTGACAATGGCAAAGCGGAACTGCTAAAAGGCCTGCGAAATCCCTATATACATATATATATAGAGCTGAGAATCTTTAAACTATTACAAAAGTTTTCAAAATTTTGATTTCTATACGCCAGAAATTATTGTGAGCACAGATAAAGTAGTTCTAGAATTTAAACAATTTTGAATAATATAAAAAGTAATAATATTTAAAAATGTTAATAAATATGTTTAATTTAATGAAGTTAAAGTTATATATAAGAAGAATCTAGTGAGAAAGGCGTGTTTAAAGTAAAGGCTTTGATAGTAATATAATATTGGCTTACATTGTAATACAAGCAAAGCATTCAATGCTTTACTCTAAACTTAAAAATCAATTTATTAGCTGTAATATTAAATGCACTTTTCTATAATGTTGTTGTTTTTTGAAAATGTTGATCACGAATCACTCAATGCATTTCTGTATAGATATGTAGATATGAGGGTTTGCAGGTATGTAGGCATGTAGGTATGTAGATATAGGGGTATGGAAGTTTATAGTATAGAAGTTTCTCATTTTGCAGCATACTAGAAAAACTATATTCTCTGAGATATATCAATTATACTATATTCTAAACGTGGCCTACAGTTCCATGCCTATTTAAAGTCAAGCTATCCATATATCTATCTGCATCTATATAAATTATATTTATTTTATATTTATATAACTAAGCACAGTATTATTTAAGCTTTATAGTTATAGTAGTAGAGTATTTTTTATCTCAAACATTTACCTTCATTAGAATTTCAAATAATTCTTTTAACATTACCAGATTTTCACTTAAAACAATTATCTTTACTCAGAATTCCTCATATTTGCTTAAGCTTCTTATAATTGATATAAATTTCCAGAAAAGTTTTGAATTAAACTTTTTTAAACAATATATGGCTTGACTCAGTTTTGGTTTCATGCCAAAAATAAATTTTGTCTTTTGCCTCGATTTAACATGAAAATTCGAAGATATGTATATTATATTTTTATATATATATTTTTTTAATTTTTATAAATATTCAATATTAAACATAGTTTTATTAAATTTCCAAAATGCAATAAAACATTAATTGATTTAATTGAAATTGACATTTATTCAGCAAAATGGGATGCACACAACTGCCATCTGGCGGGCAAATTGTGCAACTCAGCAAAGCTTTCGCTAGAAAGCTTGCCGTAAATAAGTCTAGGGAATAAGGCACTCGGTAAGCTTTTGTTTGCGCTGCTTAACAGTAACATTTTTTTTTGGTATGACTTCAACTTAGACTAAGAAACCATTTATAAGAAACTTTACACAACTGTACTTAGTAAAGACGTTTGGACAAGACAAAAAGAGTCCAAACGGCTTTTCAATTAGACTTCCTCGACGGTTTCCGTGGCTTTTGTGGCATCGACGGCCTCGTTCAGTTCCGCAGCGGTATTGGCCGTCGTCTTTGTTATCTATAGAAATTATAATGCGGGCTTTAAGATAATATTGCTTAGCTGATTTTCCGTTAGCTGAATGCATTTAATACTTATCGGAACATGCAGTTAGGGGTCATAGCACATGCTATTTGCAGCTGCCTTATCATGCAGTTAAGTACCAGTTATATATCTATACATGTGTTGATCTACAGATATTTAGTATATATACTATATTCTTAGACTAGGTTAGATTAAAATAGGATTTCTTGGGTGAACTTTACCATTACATTGATGCGGCGCATGAGAGAGACTGAGAGAGAGAGCTTATATACTGTTTATGGATCACTTAAACTTAGACCAGAGCGAGGCGAAATAGAATTTTGTAACACCCAACATTTATATCACATATAAAATGGCCAACCATTTGGTTTTCTTTAACGATTTGTTGAAATTTTTGACTTTTCTTTGTTGATTTCAGTTAGTTATGTAATTAGTTTCAATGACTTTTCAGGGATTTGTTATTATTTTGGTATGTATGTTCAACGGAATTGCTGTGGGATATTCTTACTTTGAAGCAACGAATCTTAAAATGGTTACACATTTCCGTGACCTATATAGATAGAGGATTTGGATATTATATAGAAATACATGGAAATATATGTGTGTCCTTACCACACCAAAGCCATAATGCCAGTGGGCCAATGTAACAAATATTGTCAAGCCATGGACGAGCCAGCGCTCACCCTGAGCCGTCAGATCCGTGCCCAGCACCTGCTCATACCAAGGGAAACAGCAGACGCCCACGGTGGCCACCAAAGGCCACATGAGTATATTGAAGCTATCGCAACGTGTATCCGACATTTGGGCCACGATCAGGCGGCACTATGAAAGCAAGGGTTAAAGCTACTTCTAGAATAGTTTCTATAGATTGAAAACTTACTGCAATATTGGAAAAGATAGTGCCATAGAGTATCCACAATATGCGCGGCTCCAGATTAATAACTTTATTGCGTGAGAAGAACGACCAAACGACGGTTATTACGAACAACCAGAGAAAGGCGAAGAACGGACGCAACATCTCCATCATGGGACGCATTTTGCCCGTCTTATTCTTATAAGAGCTGCAAAGATTAAAACATATTACAGCCAGATTGAGATATCCACACGAATATAATACTTACAGATATATATTCCTTATAATGATGGGGTGACTGGACAGAATGCCGGAGCCAATTAGGCCCACCTCAAATACATTTGCCACCGTAAAGCCATAAAAGCTCGAGCGATAAATTTCAGGACCCACGAGCGTGGCCACAAAAAGCATCAAGCTGACGCCCTAAAATTTATTAATCATTTATAACAGTTTTTAATTAATTATAAACGTTTGTAATAGCTTGGAGCAGTGTATAACAGTTTTAAGCATCTTATAATTGTATAGCTCAGAGCAGTTGATAAAAGTTTAAAACTGCACAAAATACTTTTGATCAAATTATAATTTTGTATAACAGTTTATAGTAAGTAATAATAGTTTTAAACTACATATATTAAAATATATATATAATTTTAGATATATTACAATATAAAAGTTTGATACCATTTATAAGAGTTTATAACAGTAATTGAGAGTTTATAAAGTTATTACGAGCTCATATTTTATGAGTTTATATATTTTATGAGCGTTTATAACTGATTGAAAATGCTTGGAAGCCATTATAACAGTTGATACTTGAAAGTTTTATAGTTTCTAGCTGGTTATAAAAGGTTAAAACTGTTTATAACAGTTTATAACTTTGTATAAAAGCTTATAACTTTAATAGCAGTTCATAAATGTTTATAAATATTGAAACTGCTTGAATACTTTATAATTTCGTTGTTAATACCAGCTTATAGCTATTTCTAACAAATTGTCACAGTTCATATCGTCTAAAAACTGTTTCAAAAAATTTATAACAGTTTATAACAACTTACAATTCATTTAAACACACTTACCCACATGGTAAAGTCGTAACCCCAGGGCAAAAACATAACACCTGTATTATATTTTTCCACATGTGTAAAATAGAAATTGAGAAATACGTTCCAAATAACGAAGTACATGCGTATGGGTGGCAAATCTTCGGTACCAAATAGTGAGAAGATATAGATGGGTATGAGTGCCGCCGAATAGGAGTCCAGACCATGATCAAAGAGCTCGCCCAGCGGCCCACTCGTGCCAGTGCGGCGAGCCTGTTTGCCATCCATGCCATCTATTGGAAAATAATCCAGCTGAAAGCGATTCGTCGGAGATAATTCTGTTTAGCAGACTCACCCAAATTGTAGTAGATAAGAATATTTATGGCAGCCACGGTCCACACCCAGCCAGGCACTGTATTACCCACGGCCTTATCATTGGCCGCCGTAAAGTCCCAGTCGTAGTTGGCTATCAATAGGAAGTTCACCACGGTCATGAGAAAACCCACAAAGGTGAGCAGATTGGGTGCCAACCATTTTGGTAAATACTGCAAAGCAATAAAGGGATCTATGAAAGACCTCTTAGCGCTTCGATTCGAGAGAGAATACATACCTTAACGCAAGCATTCCAGAAGGGATGCATAACATAGACACTCAGATAGCTGGTGTCTATGCTGTTGTACTAGAAGAGAAATATGACTAGGTATTATGACGGATCATATCATATATATAAACTTATTGACAATCAATGGTCAGCCCTCGCCAAATATTTTCGCAACTATTTGAACATAAATTCAGTTTTAGAAATACCCCTGCCTAAAATACAACTTAATCTACAAATACTTTCGACTGACAACCTATAAATAGGTTTCACTTTCTTTCTTGGTAGTACTTACGCCCATTAGGGGGACCTCAAAATAGCGCGATTGTTTACGCTTGAAGTTTATTTAATTTTAATATACCAAAACAATTGCTCGAATAAAAGTCCCTTGTAATCAAATTACTCCACATTACATTGAAATTTCTATACATAAACTATAGCTAATATTGTGATATTTATATATATTTCTTGACAATGCAATCTGAGAGTTTTATATTTCCCATCTAATATCTATGGCAATTATTTCCAAGATTATAATAATATTTTTTATATGACTTAAGATTCCAGAAATTAAGTGTGCAATATTAAATTGCCAGTAATATAGAAATATATAGTTTTATGTCAGCTTTATGCTTTATGGTTCCATTCATAAGCGTATGTGTTTGAGCTTCTCTCTGTCTCCTCTGTCTTGCCTTTCTTTCTTCATCTTCAACTTATGGAATAATCTCAATTATAGCCTTACGAAAAACTTGAAGCCAGCTCTCTTGGATACAGATAAGAGTTTATATAAGTCTGGAAATTTTCAAAGTGAAGTGTACTTCAACGTATCACCAGAACTATATATTGATTTTTTAATCAGTAATCTTTTCTGTAATTATTTATACCTCTCTTTCTCTCTCTTTCCCTCTCTGCTTTACTGTCACTGTTTCTCTATCTTTTATTTATAGGTTAATCTCCTGTACAAATTCCATTCAATCTGTCAAGCCGGGAACTATCTCTCTAAAGACAGCACATGCTTTATTCGCAGTTCAATGCCTTTTCTGCGGGATTTACGAAACAAAAAAAATGTGTTTAGCATCATCCGGTCTATTAAATGGATGACCTAGGCCTAGTCATGCCTAGGGCCGATTTGATAAGCCACCAAAATGTCTACATGTAGAACACATGCCGGTGACAGTGACAGTGACATTGACAGAAAAGACAACAACAACAAATAAATCTTCCCATTGCCCAATTCTTAGATTAATCATGCGATCCTCTCTATATGTATGGCATATATATATTTATAGCGCACTAACCGGAACTCATCGTAAGCCTGATAATAACTGATTGCCTTTGTAATAAAATTGATTGAGTGACTGCGACTGTGACTGAGGCGCCTTTAAAATATACATGGGGCATTGATTTTTTTATACCTTCTTATTAAGGTTCGTGTTGCAGGTGCGCTTCGGCTTGTATTTATTTGTTTGTATGTAGTCTAAGCCATTTAATACTCACCTTGTAACGCTCGAAGCCCCGCAAATGGGTTTCCGACAAATAGCGCATGTTGGCCATATTGTTCTTGTTTTCTTATATATGTATATATTGTTGTATTGCAATGATAACAGCGGAGCACAGTTATAATATTGATATATTTATGACCTTTGCCTGTGGGGTCAAATGCAAGTAACTGTCTTCGATATAAACATTTTACGAAACGTTTTAGTTGGGAAATTTCAGCAGCTGTTCACCACCGGCACGCACTTCTCTTCGAAAAAATAAACTTATGCTTCTTCTTCTTCTTTATTTTTATGACTACAAACCATAAATTAAATAATCGTTTATATAGACACACGGGATGCCGTTCGCCTGCGGTTCCCGTTGCTCCTCTTGCTATTGCTGTTTTTGTTGTTGTTATTGTTGGCACGCAACACGCAAACAACCGTTACTAATATATATAACAGTTATTTATATATAGAACAGGCGAAGGCACTTGCGAGACAATGACGATTTGCGACTGCCTCAGCACTGTGTATTATCAAGACTGAAGACGAACTGCTGGCTGGCTGGCCGGCAGTTCGAGCGCAGCCCAAAAATTAAAAAAAAAAATCAACTAGGAATATTGCGGTCGGATGACAACAACTGCGCTATACTCTATATGCAGCCAGAATAAAGCTTAACTGAAGCTTTAAGACTGCAAACTGAATTTCAATTGACTTTTAAGAGTTTCTGTAAGCTATGTGTGGGCGTGGCTTTAGTAAAATTAAATTAATAGTAAAAGCAAATCATTCAACTCTCTTGAAACACTCACACTTTCTTACACGTTTATAAAACTGTTCAAATATATTTAAAAATATTTGCAAGCATAGCTAAGGCCTACATACACTTCTTTTCGCATAGCGTACAGTGTATAAAAAAATCCAAGCGCTTAATTTACAACGCCGACTGCGGCTGAGCTTCGGTAGTTCGCTCTGCTTTCCACTAATCCCATTGCACACATTGTTATCGCACAGTTTGCGACTCTCTTTAGAATTCATACACACACACACACAGAATGAGCGTAAGACAGAGAGAGAGAGCGAAAGACACGCCTGCACACATGTGCACAAGTGTGCGTATGTGTGAATTTGCATTGAATGAATTAAAATTTGTAAAAGTTAAACAAGTGCTAGTAGAAGGGGGTTATTGGTTATCATGTTAGACTCTTCGCTGATAGCCCCAATCTCTGGGACAAAGTATTTAACAAATATGCGAGGTGTGATTATTTATTCGAGTCCCAATTTAGATTGCCCAGCGAAAACCCTAAAAATGAACGGAAACCTCATCATGTGAATGTTGGAGCTCTGGGGCTACGTTAGTTAGCTTGCACTTGACTAAATATGGAACATAATACATATACATTATATGTATGTATGTATGTACTTAAACATATTTATTTATGATTTTGAAATAGTTCAAGTTCAACTGATAACCTAAAAAAAATAAAGCTAACGGGTTGCCAAGTGATTAACAAATTGACAACATACTGACGACAGCAAACCAAATCTATTAAAAGAAAAAAACATGTGCATATGGAAGCCTAGTTTTTTGTAGAACATAACATGAAATGTTAAATAATAGTGGCGAAAATAGAAAATAATATAGGAGAATATGGTGCAATATATTAAATAGATTAATTTTGATATTTATGAAAATTATCTTTTTTATTTTAGATTAAGTTTTTGAACTACTTTTTAGGAATGGAAAAGCAAGCTTTACAAAATAGAAATTTCAACAAAATACCCATCGAATATGGAACTTTTCAAACTAATTTAAATATTAGGCAATATCTTTAAAAACTTTAAGCTTACGTAGTGCAGCATACAAAAAAGGATATATATAGAGTTAAATAATTTATTTACGAGTTAATTATATAATCTTTTAAAAGAGAACCAATTACCACATTGAGAACCAACTATATATACATATTCAAAACCAACTGATAAAAATATTCCATTTTATGTTTAATGTTTTGATTAATCACAATTGTCTACAAAATTTATTATAGAAAATTTGAAATTTGAACGTTCATTTCCTGCATGAAAGCAAAATTATAATCATAATACATATCATACTAATAAGTATATATAAAGTATATAGATAACAGGTGCAGTCTTATCAAAATTTCGCCTGACTGAAAATGTAATGAAAACAAGTCTTTGTTTATAAATAATAAAACAAACAGATAACAAGCATAAAATTAAAATTCAATTGGAAAAGTTTCGCTAATTCGGCATTTTTTTTTTTTTTACTAGTGGAGCCATCTGGAAGTCTCCGTGGCAGTCAGACCCTCGGAGCGCAGGCGCTGCAACATGGGACGATAGATGTCCGGCGTGAAGGGCAGCAAAACTCCGCGTTCCTGGATTTCACCTGGCATAAAGAAATGTAAAGTGGGTGAATATACCCATATAACGTCTATAGAGTATTACTAACCATCCAATATCATTTTGGCTGCAATGGCAGCTGGCTTGCCCACAGTCATGGCCATGGCGGAGTGTCCTTGGGGCTGGCCATAGACGACAAAGTTAATGCCGCGCTCCTCGCGACGACCGTCGGGCCAGCGAATGCCCACCTCGTGACGCAGCACGACCAAATCACGCTCCTCACGCTCTGCAGGGAAGTTCTGGATAAGTCAGTCCTTAGTCGACCCAAAGTCGTTTGCACTTACCAAATGCCAAGCGCTTGGACAAATAATGACTGAGCGTATCCAGCGGCGAGTGCAGCTTGACCACGGGCGTCTCTTCCAGCAGACCCAGACTCTCGATGCCATCCACATCGCCCAGGCGCTCGACTAGCTTCTGCTTGAGGTTCTCGTAGAAGATGCTCGTGTCGGACAGGCCCAGCAGATGAATGACCAGCTGTCGCCAGGTCACATCCGGTCCACTGGGATGCAGCAGAGCATTTGGCTCTGGATCGATCAAGCCCAGCAGCTGCATCGGCTTAATGGACTCCGAGAAGCCCTTGTAGCGTATGGTGCCACGCAGCAGGGTGTGCACATCCCTGCCCAGGCCATAGAGTGCGCCATATTTGGTGGAGTCCCGATTGGGGAAGCCCTCCAGTGCAAAGCCGGGCAAAAAGTCCAAGCTGCGCGGATTGGACATTAGCTCACCGCCACCAGAGATCTCCACAATCTGGCCCTGGCTCAAGTACTTCGCCGCCGACAGCGTGTTGAGCAGCACGCCCCTTGGCGACCAGGAGAACTTGTAGCGCAGCGCATTATTCGAGTGCTCCGGTGCGGGCAGGCCGCCGCAGTAGCTGACAAAGGATTCGACAACGGCGCCCTTCTCCTGCACTTCGTGTATGCACTCCAGCGCCAACAGATGATCGATGCCTGGATCCAAGCCCACCTCGTTCATGATGGTCACGCCATTGGCGCGTGCCTCCTCGTGCAGCTCCGAAATCTCGTCGTTCAGATAGCTGGCGGTCACCATGTGCGTCTTTTCCGCCACGCAGTAGCGCGCAATCATGCCATGGAGACTGTAAGGCAGCAGTGAGACAACCACATCGGCCTTGCCGCACAGCTCCTGCAGATGGCCCGTGCTCTCGTGTACATCCAAATAGACGCTATCGACGCCGGCGTATTGCTGTGCCAGGCGATCGGCCTCCTCCTTGACCTGCGAACAGACCGTTATGCTCACATCCTTCTCCCGGTGCAGCCACTCGACCAGCGGAGCCGAGACCATGCCAGCGCCCAGCACCAAAACCTTCTTCTGTGCCTCGGAACGTCCCTCCATCTTGTGGCGGGAACGATTGCTCTGCGCCTCGCGCAACTCTTGTATGTACTGGAAGCTCTCGGTCAGCTCCCCATTGCTAGCGATAATTGCCTAAGGGAGTGAAAGACCCATATTAAGAGAGCGATTGCCAAACACAGTGAGCACTGAAATTATGTGCACACTTGATAACGCTATGACTGATAAGCTAAAGCTGAGGGGCGTTGTGTATACTGAGCAAATATGCGAGGGATGTTTGAGCAATTCTTAGACTAGTGGAACCTTGCTTACTCACCGACTGTATGGGATAGGTAAAGTGTTCCTCGTGCAACGGCTTCTTGGCGTCGCTCTTGATGATGTCGTGGACATGGGGCGTTAATAGCTCGCCAAAGAGATCCGTTGATTCGCGCGGCAGCTGCGTGGGCATATTATCAATAGAGCAGACCAGCACACCGGGTCCCTTAAAGCTCTTGGTATCCTTATTGCGATCCGCGTCGTACAGACAGAAGGGCGTGTCGATGGTGGTGCACTCATTCATGAACTCAATGGAGCCGCCGGGATCGGCGGATATGTCACAAATGGCGAGCATGCGATGCGGCAGAGCAGGACTGCCTTTGCTAGTGGGCAGCCAAGGTGTGTTGGCCGGACGTAAGAGATTCTTGGCATCCGGTATGCTGATCAACTTTGGACTACCAACGGCCCAGTAGATGCCATTGACAATGACCGAAGCGTAGGCCGCGATCTTCTGGCTAAATGTGGAAATGTAACGCTCGGGAAACTCATCATACTCTTTGGCATCAAAGCCGCCGCCCTCGCGACGTTCCAAATGATCCGAGCGGCTCACCTCGCAGCCGTATAGCTTATTTGTATCTAGACAAAGGAAGAAATCCCTTAAGCAATCGAACTATCTCTCTGATCTTCAGTACTTACTGCCATGCTCGGCTACCTTGCGCAGCATCTCTGGCGGCACATACTCAACAGGCAGCTCGGAGAAGACCTCTTGCGCGCCCTGGGACACATTGCCGGAGCCCGAGAACACAAAGGTCAAAGGTCCAATTGACTTGGGCATCATGCCCAGCGAAATCTCGTAGCCGCAGTCACGTATCGCCTGGCGGGCCATCGAGGAGTTGCGATAGTTGTGGGCGGGTCCGATGTGCATGAAGGGCGTATGATGTCCCAGTGCCAGCAGACGCAATCCAATGCCATGCAGTATGTTAACCATGCCAGCAACACCGGCATACTTGCCAAACGCCACCTGGCGGGCGCCGCGCTCATCAATGATGCGCTCATAGTCAATGAGGCGGATTTTCTACGTAGCAAAAGTGGCAAGGGAATTAGAAGAGTTCAGATGGGAAGATTAATGATTTGCAACCTTTTCGAGTATGGCATCTAGCAAGGGCATATTGGACTCTTGCGCCTTGATCGTATGCGAGAAGAAGCAATAGGTTTTGCCAGGTATAAGCGCATCGATGGGCACCTGTTTGACGCCAAAAATGACCGAAGCATCGCTAATGTCCTCCTGGATTTGAGCTCCAGCATGCATGTATGCCTATATCAAAAGAAAGATTATATATTTTTTGTAAGTTAAGAGTTCCCAGAATTTTTCTTATCTAATCAACAATTTGCCCAAATATTACTCGACACCTCTGCTCATAATTTTCCCAATTTTTATTTCTACTTATCCGTAATCTAACCAGAAGATTTGATAATTCGATAGTCAACATAATGCGCAACATTAAAAGATTAATAGTCTAGCTAATTGGTATATTTTTAGATCAGAAGAAAGAACTAACAATGACTGCGAGATACCCTGTAAGCACTTAATTATTTACCTTTTATAATAAATAATTTATTTATATATGTAAATATTATATTTTTCAGAAAATTTATTATTATTTATTTTTTAATTATTTTTTAAATATTATTTTATTGTTTATATTTTTTTTCTATTTCCTATAATTTTATTATAAAAATTTTTTTTAAATAATTATTTATTAATATTTACATACTTTTTTAATGTTTATTTTACTATTTTTACTATATTTTACAAATGTATTTTTTATTTATACATTTTGTATACTATCATAATATATATCTATACATATATATATAATGATAAATAATTAATAAATAATTATTTAAAAAAATATATATATATATTTTCTTTATTATATTATTGTATTATTGTAATAATTATTATTTTGATTATTTATTTTATTTTATAACTAAAAATCTCAACTTCATTCAAAAAGTTTTCAAATTTACAATCTATTAATATGCTTTGAAAATATACTACAATTTTTATGATCAAAATTATGAATTCTGCACTGCAATATAAAAATCAATTTAATACTTTTTATTATTATTTTCCTTATGTTCATTTTTATACAACAAATTTAAAAATCTACTTCTTTTCATTCCAAAATATATTCAAAAAAAAAATAAAAACAAAAATACTTCAACTATAAATAACTGAAGCATAAATAAGCAATGTCCTTGGCAACTAATCTGATTTCGATTTCACATCACAGCTATTATCAAGCTATTATTGTTTTGAAAATGCCAATCAAATAAATATTGTTTTTCGTAAAGTTCATTTATATATATTATCTGAGGAAACAAACGAAAAGGTTGACTGAAAACATGTTCCCAGCGAGATAACATGAAATTACGCTACATTCGCAGCTCTTGACTGCTGCCAAGGCCAACGATTGCCAAATTTAGAGCTTATCTGGCAAAAAAAACTTTTATGATGCACTCCATATGGACTACATCAGGCGACTCTGTAACTAAGCCCACGTATAACATGATGATTAAGCTTAATTATATTCGCATCTGATTCTGGGCTCACTCACCTGCATGGGATAGGCGCGCCGATTGGAGGGCTGGACAATGACTTTAACGCCCTGTTTGACCAACTTCTGGACATGGGTGGGTCCGAATGGAGCACGTCGCTCCCACACTGATTGATCCTCGCGACGTATGGCAATCACTCGGCCATGCTATAATTAATATATAGATTCATAATTCATCAACGGATGCTGGCTTGACGCCCACTCACATGACGCTGCCTGGTGAGCGCAGGCGCGATCGTTGCGCGCAATTGTAGGAAACGCGACATATTCTGTCTGTCACTTGTCAATCAGAATGAAGAGTATGCACTCTATATATATATATATATTTGTGGGGATTTATTATAATGATCCGAAATGCTGATGCCGCTGCAAGATCCGTCAGCACTGAGCACTCGATGCGTTCTAAAAACCCTACCAGCGAGAAGTCGACGCGCCTCTATCAGCGGCACGAACAGACCGAACGACACACGGACGGACCCACGTTGGGCGATAAGCCGGACACACACAAGGCATAATGGAGCGTCTCTGGGCAGCGTGTAAACCTAATAAAATAACAAGAGGCGTGTTAAGAGCTCTCTCTTTCTCTTTACCATTTATATGAATACTTAGGAGGTCGAGTGAAAGTGTTTCAAGTCTAAAAATTTTCCATTCACAAATTTTTCCATTCATGAAAAGCCGTTTGAGATAAGCGATCGATAGAGTTGGTATTTAAAGCATATCCATATATATATATATATATAATATACACATATGTGATTTTTTATTATTAATATTTATAATTGTAATTAATCGATTTCATAGTTTCATTTGCCATTTAGCTAGTTTCGTAGCATTCACATCAAAAACAAATTTTATTTCTTAAGGCTATAAAAAACACTAAGGCTACATCATGGGGCATAAAGTGGTGGCAGGCTGCTGCGCGGCATACGCTGGGACACGCCCATTTTGCGCTTCACGCGCACACACAGACATGTTATAAATATACATATATAATTCATTACGTTGCTAGAAAAACAGATATTGCAAAAGTTCAGGTATGCATAAATTATAACATTTATAAATGTAGAGGAAAAGGGGAGGAAGTGCAAAAAGGAAATAATGGAGAAAATATCCAAGAGGCCACAGAGAGTAAAGATGTAATACGTTCGACTTTACAGCGCCGGCGCCTCGGGCAACAGCGAAGTGAAGAACGTTATGACAAAGGTGCGCACAATAGAAATCACAGAGGTATTGGCATTCGCTGGCTCAACGGCTACAGCTTCAGCGGCAGCTGCAGCGGCATCCATGGCTTGATCCCCACCAGCGCTGGCTGCTGGCTGCGCAGCATCATTTGGTTCAGCGGCAGGTGCTTGTGCTGGCGCTTGTACTGGTGCAGGTGCCGCATTGGGCTGCTCAGCAGCAGCAATAGCTGCATCAACTGCCTGTGGATTATTGTCTTGCTCAACGGCTGCGTCCATCATACGTTGTATTTGTTGCACAGCCGCAAAGGCGGCAATATTATTGCCAGCATTGTTATTTCGATTGATGTTGTTGTTATTTCGCTCACGACGACGACGCAAGACGCCGATGTGGTAGCTATGAAAAGTATAAATAAATTAGCAGATAATCTCAAATTTCTCAAGCCTCATTCATACTCACAGATAAATCACGCTTGCGATGAACACCACCATCAAGCAGCGCATGGGCGATGAATTGAAATACAAAACTGTTACAAAAATGGCCAATCGTGTTAAGCTAAAGAAACTATCCAGCCAGTCGCGCACCTCGGGCTCCTCCTGTATATTGGGAAAATTGGGACCATCAACAGGCTGTGCTGCCGGCCGTCGAGCTACGGCCTCCTCATTGGGCTGTCCAGCTGCTGCGCCAGCTGCCACCACCACTGGCACCGGTTGATGTGCCACCAGCGGCACGCCCATATTGTTATGAAGTCCTGGCATACTTTGCATAAAAGGTGGCAGCATTGTCGGTGGAATGACACCGCCTGTGCTGCTGGTGCTGCGAATAGACAAATCGATTTATTCTTATTACTTTCAACGAATGTCACAAGTCATTTCAATAAGATTTCTGACGTTTCCAACGATGTCGAATATAGATGCCAAGGATTCGATTGGAATTTGAATTTCAATACAACATAAATAATTATCGAGTATATATACTATATTATATACAAGCGTGTTGTGCCCATTGGCAGCTTTTATAAGCAGGTTACAAGACTAAAGCAAAATCAATAATTCAATAATCGTGGTACAATTATCTAAGCTATTAGATATGATATATTATTATATACCCTATATACCGTTAAACTCTCTCTTTCTCTTTACCATTTATATGAATACTTAGGAGGTCGAGTGAAAGTGTTTCAAGTCTAAAAATTTTCCATTCACAAATTTTTCCATTCATGAAAAGCCGTTTGAGATAAGCGATCGATAGAGTTGGTATTTAAAGCATATCCATATATATATATATATATAATATACACATATGTGATTTTTTATTATTAATATTTATAATTGTAATTAATCGATTTCATAGTTTCATTTGCCATTTAGCTAGTTTCGTAGCATTCACATCAAAAACAAATTTTATTTCTTAAGGCTATAAAAAACACTAAGGCTACATCATGGGGCATAAAGTGGTGGCAGGCTGCTGCGCGGCATACGCTGGGACACGCCCATTTTGCGCTTCACGCGCACACACAGACATGTTATAAATATACATATATAATTCATTACGTAGCTAGAAAAACAGATATTGCAAAAGTTCAGGTATGCATAAATTATAACATTTATAAATGTAGAGGAAAAGGGGAGGAAGTGCAAAAAGGAAATAATGGAGAAAATATCCAAGAGGCCACAGAGAGTAAAGATGTAATACGTTCGACTTTACAGCGCCGGCGCCTCGGGCAACAGCGAAGTGAAGAACGTTATGACAAAGGTGCGCACAATAGAAATCACAGAGGTATTGGCATTCGCTGGCTCAACGGCTACAGCTTCAGCGGCAGCTGCAGCGGCATCCATGGCTTGATCCCCACCAGCGCTGGCTGCTGGCTGCGCAGCATCATTTGGTTCAGCGGCAGGTGCTTGTGCTGGCGCTTGTACTGGTGCAGGTGCCGCATTGGGCTGCTCAGCAGCAGCAATAGCTGCATCAACTGCCTGTGGATTATTGTCTTGCTCAACGGCTGCGTCCATCATACGTTGTATTTGTTGCACAGCCGCAAAGGCGGCAATATTATTGCCAGCATTGTTATTTCGATTGATGTTGTTGTTATTTCGCTCACGACGACGACGCAAGACGCCGATGTGGTAGCTATGAAAAGTATAAATAAATTAGCAGATAATCTCAAATTTCTCAAGCCTCATTCATACTCACAGATAAATCACGCTTGCGATGAACACCACCATCAAGCAGCGCATGGGCGATGAATTGAAATACAAAACTGTTACAAAAATGGCCAATCGTGTTAAGCTAAAGAAACTATCCAGCCAGTCGCGCACCTCGGGCTCCTCCTGTATATTGGGAAAATTGGGACCATCAACAGGCTGTGCTGCCGGCCGTCGAGCTACGGCCTCCTCATTGGGCTGTCCAGCTGCTGCGCCAGCTGCCACCACCACTGGCACCGGTTGATGTGCCACCAGCGGCACGCCCATATTGTTATGAAGTCCTGGCATACTTTGCATAAAAGGTGGCAGCATTGTCGGTGGAATGACACCGCCTGTGCTGCTGGTGCTGCGAATAGACAAATCGATTTATTCTTATTACTTTCAACGAATGTCACAAGTCATTTCAATAAGATTTCTGACGTTTCCAACGATGTCGAATATAGATGCCAAGGATTCGATTGGAATTTGAATTTCAATACAACATAAATAATTATCGAGTATATATACTATATTATATACAAGCGTGTTGTGCCCATTGGCAGCTTTTATAAGCAGGTTACAAGACTAAAGCAAAATCAATAATTCAATAATCGTGGTACAATTATCTAAGCTATTAGATATGATATATTATTATATACCCTATATACCGTTAAACTGTAAAGATTTATCATATGCATAAGACTGTAGGCATTTGTTATTTAAAAGAAATTTTAAATGAATTGTAATGAAAATTAGAATAACCCAGCATTAGGGATAATAAAAGCTAAAGCCTAACATTACATATTCTCATATAGCAATTAGCTTCACTTTCTGCTTTCTTAGCACATCGTGCAGCTGACAGATTCTAATATCAATGGGTATAATAATTTGCCTACGTTTATAGTATAATATATGTGTATAGTATATATACTTGCTCATTGTTACAATTACATCTTTCATTTACTCTAATACTGTTCCAATATATGAATCTATAGAGATTAATAATACATTCTTTACATCGATACACAGACGACAAAAGCAATAATCTTTCACAGCATTACAATACAACAAATCCTAACTTTTCTGCCACATTTTTATTTTATCTATTTGTGCATTTTATGTCGTGTCACACTCACCGTTGCATCGTTTGTTGCATATACATTGTATACCACTGCTGGATCCAGGCATTATATAGGAGAGCCTGTTGCTGCTGGTAAGCCAACTGTGTATTTGGGGCTGTCGATGATGTCGATGGCATCGCTGAGGCCGCTGCCGCTGCAGCTGCTGCAGCCGATGTCGACGAATTCTGCCCGATGGCCATTTGATAAGCCTGATTGTGTAATTGGAACCAGAGATGCGGATCGTTTGCCTGCTGTAGGTTTGGCTGCTGATAAGGATGCTGGGCGGCAGCAGCAGCGGCGGCGGCCACATGTCGCTGCCTCAGCTCATTGTCGTTATTTGCATTGTTGGTCGTATCCACGCGTGGCGTGCTCGTAGTAACTTTTGGCGGTGTGGACGTCTTATATGGCGCCTTAATAGCAGTATTTTTGTTGGCGCACACCAAATGAAAGATATGATGCTGCTGATAGACATCCTTGTAACTGCGTATGACCTCCGACAGCTTTTGGGCATCGTCCAGCAGTTTTCCCGAATAGATGAGCTTTTGGTCATTAATTTCCTGTACAAAAAAAAGTAGATTATAATCAATATCGGTTGGCACTTGAGGTACTTCAAAAGGAAAGAAATTATTCTTGGTGATAGAAGTTAATATAATATAGTAGATTAAATATATGTCTAAAGCATGTTTATATATATATTATAAATGGCATTATTATATGCTTAGGCTTTAATTATAGCTTCACAATCTGTGTGGGCGTAACCTTCATCTGTCTCTCTTAATTTGCTAAATAATCTCAATGCTTCCACTTAATAAACACATTTGATAACAAGCTTCGTTGCGGAATCTAAATAAAAATAAATACTTTATGCTATCAGCTTTATTATTTCTTATACAAAAATAAGCTTTATTAAATTGAAAATTGCAAAATACAAAAATATTTTTTAAACTATTCCAATTGTTACCCACTGACCGCCGAAAGCTGTTTATCTAATACCAAAAGGTTAACATTTAAGGGTACCTAGCAACCGTTATACATGGAAGAATATGTAGATGTATACAACTGCGACCCAGTTTTGCTAGACATTGACCTCGCTCTCCCAGAATAAGATATAGTGTATATAAGATAATGTAATGCAAAAAGATTCAATTGAATTAAGGAATTATTTATATAGTAATATATGAATTTTTGTACATGTATATATATATACATGCATTTCGAAAAGCTCAAGAATACTATAAACTATTATACAGTAATATAATATGGAAGCTTTGCTTATATTATATTCATTCGAACGAAAATTAAGTTTATATGCACAAACCTTAAAGACTTTCCTTGCACAGTTTTATAAAGCTAAATTATATATAGTACATATATATACATATATAGAGCGGACCAAATTGAGAACAGTTGCTCAAGCTGAAATATATAATATGCATATGTATATATATACGTGCATATATACATATATACCGTACTGCACGGCATTATTATCTTGGCATGCGCCGAGTTATTTTAGTTCATAAATAAAACTCTATCTTATATTTGCGAAGCGAATAAAAAAAAATAATATTTTTGTTTAGCACAGACTATATACTATAGCAGATAGTTTATCAAGCCTTATAGTATATAATATGCCTAGCCATTAAGTTCTCTTGATTTGCAATTTGAGAAAATATTAAATGACGTGTACTTTCGTGAAGGCAACGTCAATTGAGACGAAACTGACAAACAGAGCGAACAGAAATTTGTCGTTCGCACAAGATAAACAATAACAAATAACAAAAGATTTGCCAGCGTCGCAGCCAGCTGATAAGATAGACTTTCAAAGCTGACGTCAATGTTTATAGTATATGTACATATAAACATATATATACATGCATATATGTGTATATATATAAGTAATGTGTGTGTGTGGGTGCACCTACCGGCTTGCCGGGATACACCAGGGATAGCTGCTTCTTGAGTCGCTGCACAGTCCAGCAGAGATCACTCTCGATATTCACGTCGTCGTATTGCTGATTCGACGATTTAATCAAGAGCCTAATGCCACTGCTGCTGCTGTTGCTGGCAGCGACGGCGGCAGCGACTGGTTCGTTTGTTTTGTCTCGGGCAGCATCATAGCCAGCGGCCGTAGCGGCCGCTGATGACGGCGACGGCGTTGTAGCTGCTGTATCATCCATAGTTTTTTAAACCTCCTCACCCTCCCGGGTCACTTTCTGCGTCGTTGCTAATTGCTAGGCACGACCACTCGATACGCAATGGAGCAACAAGCGACAAGTGTTTTTTTTATTTTATTGTGAGCTCGTGATTCGTCAGCGTTGGGCGGCAGTTGGGGCAGTGGGTATGCAGTTATGCAGGGGCGGGCGCACCGTATTTTCCACTATACTTGTATGCTTGTATATTGTGTAGACTTCCACGGTCACTTCGTCTGACTCTCCCCGCTTGTACGATTTTCTTTCAACAACGAATTTTGCTAATAACAAATATTGATTGATGTTCTACTAAAAACGTAATTGTTGCTGTGTTTCGTTGTGCGGCGCCTTGCATTAAATTGAGAACTGTTGATTATGAAACGAATTTCCGAGCAGAGCCGAGCTGAGCAAAATAAATAATCAAAGTTCCTTCGTCTACAGCACCACTTGTTTTACCAGGGTTACTCAGGGTTGCTTTGGCAGCTATGGCGTTGCCACTCGTGACAAAATGACGTGTATCTAAAATAAGTGAAGACAATACTGTCTCAACTATAATTTAATATAAACATTGTTTATTAATAATTAAAAAACAAATCTGTTGCAAATTCTAATTTGGGGCACATACAGATATGAAGCAATACAAAACTTAGGTCAAATTTAGTACATTAAACAAATAAATAATATGGCAACACTTCAGACGAATTTTAGACTTTACAAACTTGTTAAAACTAAATGTTTGACAATTTTAAATTTTAACTAACCCATAGCTTAAAAAGTGAATGGTTCATACTTAATACCTTGCTTGGTGACTTTTGGATCAGTAAGTCTCATGGACAACAAGTCTGCAGTTTCAGCGCTTCAGGAATATTGCGCACAAGCAAAGACCGGGAACCCCGTTTATGAATATCTTGACGGGGAGGACGGCGGTTATATTTGTAAAGCCGTTCTTTTGGATATTGAAGCCTACGGCAATGGTAAGCCATTAGCATATGCCTAAATGACAGTTTCATACTGCAATATCTCTTGAAGGTCGGTCGAAGCGTGATGCCAAGCACTTGGCCGCCTCCAATATAATGCGCAAATTATGCAAAGTTCCTGGCTTAAGTCACTTAGGTGTGGATGTCAACGATAATTGTCAAGATAATTTAAATATGACTAGTGTGGTCGATGAGCTGACGAACATAAATCGCGACATGCTGAAGGAACTACGCGATTATTGTGTCCGTCACGATATGCCGCTGCCCATTATCGAAATAGTCCAACAGAGCGGATCACCGAACGCTCCTGAGTTTGTAGCTTGCTGCTCGGTGGCGTCCATCAAACGTTATGGCAAGTCTGATAAGAAGAAGGATGCACGTCAACGCGCTGCCATTGAAATGCTGTGCGTTATATCGAACGATTCGAATAATGCAAATCCGGATAATCAAGTGGCTTGCACCAAGGCAAAAAACGTTAACGATTTGGATAGCAGTATAGAGGATGTGGAAACCGAACGTCGGCGTAAATTCAAGACATATCGTGAGTTAACCGACGCCGGCTGCGAAGATACACAATCCGTCAAATTGTGCGATCGTCACAATTACTTCAAGTCCTACTATCCACACCTAAAACAAGCTGCTTTCGAGGCCATGAACAACGACAGCTATTTATCAGGCAAAGACAAATTGCTGGCTGTGCTCGAAGCACTTAAACTAACTCCACGCATCACTACACTCGAGTCAAGTTCTTTTGAGCCTTTGCTAATGCTCGAATTAAACTGCGAATACGATTGCATATTTGTGGGACTGGAAAGCAAGATCTATGGGGAAATTGTAGAATACTTTCGTGATATGCTGGTTTAGACTGAAAAGGGAAGACGTGCTCAAAAACGCCGTTTATTTCTGTTTATACATATATATATATATTTATATTTAACATATATTTCAACTAATACTTAAAACTAATTAAACGTGTTATTTACAATAAACACTTGAAATAATGCACATGATTATGTATATAAATATATATGTATAGTTGTATATTAATGTCTATACTTATATACTTTGTACATCGTGTAATAAAAATACAATTCGTACATATGTTCTTCGATCATAAAAGCGAGAGTTCTGTTAAGGTCGTCGTGGACAAACAATTTGGCGCAAGGAACGAAATCGAAGAATCATTTTTCAACAATAATATATATGTATAAACAATTGGTTGAACTTTGTTTCGCAAATGACATTTCTGTTTGTAAATTGTGGGTACTTCCCCCAAAATGTAAATTAGTGCAAAAAAATATACTTAGAAATTCTGAGAATGCTAAATTATATGTTGCCCTGCACTCGAAGTTTATATATTTATATAACATTTTATAAACTTTCAATTTATGCTATGCCAAAACTTGTGTCTAACTAGTAAAAATAATTTATGCTGAAACTTAAATATACCACACTTTTATTTTCATATAAAGGAAGTTTGTTGTCTTCAATAATTGAAAGATCCACAAACATTAATCGCACTTTAAATGCACTTTTCTTGAATAACTTTCGTATCGTTGATTATAACGTTGGTAAGGAAAAGCAATCAGCTCATGCTAAACTTTAATATAATCCGAAAGCTAAGATTATGTAGCTCTAAATCAAAGCAGCAAAAAACAAACACATCTGATTGAATGTGTTGTCAAAGAACCAATTGCACATAGCTTCAATAAAAGCTGCGAAAATTTCTGATATACAAACATGTTTCAAGGAAGTACGAATTGTCAGATATTACAAATATATGAATGCAGTTCCTAAGTGGAACAAATCACTATTATAGCTTAAGATTGGTTTCACCAAATCGAGCAGATTCGTTCCTCTTGCAACCAAACGTTGTATAGAAAATAAAAACCAAACCCAAGTCGTTCAGTTGTGGGTCTTGAATCTGTAAATTTTACTAGTATTACTAAAAAAAATTTTCGTTACAAAATAGGTATTAACAATAACAATTGCAGCAGTTCCATTTAGCTGTGACTAAGCCATTTAGTAGCTAATCTTCTTGCGCAGCTTCAGATGCTGCTGTTGATCGCGGTCCGTAGTCACGCGACCTGATACACGTGGATGAGGATGTTGATGCCAAGGCAACGTTGGCGGCTGCGTAGGTGTTGGTATACCAGAATTGGAGGCTGATGTGGAGGCTGATGAACCTGACTCAGCAAAGATTCGACGCGATAGCCTAAAGCTGCCACCTCCAGTGGTGGTCGAAGGAGTTCCGCTGTTGCTATTATATTTGCTGCTGCTGCCGCTATTGTTATTATTATTATTATTGTTATTATTTATATTATTATTATTATTATTATTGTTGGGGTTATTGTTGCTTTTACTCATTGTTGAAGCGGTGGCTGCTGTTGCTGCTGCTGCTGCTGCCGCAGCCGCAACGCTGGTCTTACGCAGCAATTTAGTGTTATACTCGTCGCATTTGTCCTTTTCGATACGTGTTGAGCTAAGCGAACGCTTATTCCGTTTGCTGCCGCCTAGTTGGTGCCCCATTTGGTGCTGTTGCTCAATGCAGTTGCTGTTAACTGATTGCTCATCGCTAGTACGTCCATTGCTACTGTTCATGCTGGCCAACATGCTAAGACGGCTTGTGTCTGGGGGAGGTGTAGAAGAATGCGAATTACTCAAATTGCTGTTGCTGTTGTTGTTGTTGTTCAAGTTGGGTATCTTTGACTTGGTTGTTGTACTTGTTGCTGTTGTTGTAGCTGTTGCTGTTGCGTTTGCACCTGTTGTAATTGTGTTGTTGCAGGCAGCTGGCAGCGGATTAGAGTTAAGGTCAAGCGTAGCGGATGAGGAACGCATCGTAACAGTGTAGCACCCACTGGTGGGGCTGGGGCTGCTGCTGTTACTGCAAGCAGCATTGACCTGTGTCGTGGGTATAGCGGACACATCACGATAGTAGCGAGCCGTTGCCATCGTGCACGCTTGCGCCGCTTGCTCTTCAGATGCGCCACAACCAACTTGACCAGGCCGCTGATAGCGTATGCGTGAACGACCCCTAAGCGTCATATGGTGAAGCGAGCTGCGGGTCAAGCTGCTGCGCACTGGCGGTATGGTTGCCGAGCTGCCAGCACCACCAACACCACCGACACCTATGGGTATTTTACTTTCATTGATCGTTGCATAGGATTTCAATTGCTTATCGAGCACAGCAGCGGGCTGTTGTTCCTGTTGCTGTTGCTCCGCATTGCGCAGGTGCTTCAATTCCATTCTGTCATTTGTACGGGGGGCAGGGAGTAAAGGGGAGCGAAAGATTGTGAGCCCACAGCCAAGCACGAGAGACAATAGAGAAAGATTTATTTGTCGTAGAAGATACGCAGAATAAGCTTAATTGCTACGCAGGAACCAAAAAAAAGTATACAAAATATGCCAAGGAGCATCAGAAACATAATCGCCAAACGTTATAAAAAAAAATAAACAAAAATTATCGCAAGCTCAATAAATTTTGATTTCGATTCTTTTTTATTTTGTAATTTTGCATGCACAAACAAGTTGTAAGACTAATTAATTGAAAGAAAGAAAACAAACAGCAAATGTAAGTACATACTCAAAATTCAATAAATCAAACAAAATAAAATTATTGGTAAAATTAGTGTTTGTTAACGAATTTATTAACCAGCCAACGAAGCGAAAGCTATCGATAACAGTTTATCAACAACCATTTCGCTCTCACGCCAGCTTTGTGTGTGTGTGATGTGCAATAATAACGGTTAGCGGAAAGGGCAATATTAAGACTATGCTAAAAACTTATATACAAACTGGCAAAATGTGCAAAGCGAACGAGGACACCAAAAAAGACGGGAATAAAATGCTAAAAAAAATACTAGACGAGAATACAAAAAGCCGCTGCACAGTTCGAGCTTCAAATCAAAAGTGAGTTTGTGTTTGGGTGTGTGTGTGTGTGTGAGTGTATTGTGTAGCGCTGTTTGTGGCGGGGAGGGACGGTTATCTATTGGTGGGGGCGATCGCAGGGCACTTACCTCTTGCTGTAGATAGCCAGACTGCGCGTACGGCTGGCCGTATTGGTTTGCATATTGTTGTTGTTGTTGTTAGTGCTATTATTGTTACAGTTATGCAAAGAGTTGTTTATATTATAGTTGCTGTTGTTAAGATTATGTGATGCTGTTGTTGTTGTTGTAGATGTTGTTGCTGTTGTTACTGTTGCAGTGGCTGTTGTTGTAGGCAAACAGCTGACGGCTTTAAGAGCCATAGCCGGCGACGTTGACACATTCACCACATTGTTGTTGTTGCGAAATGGCTGAGAACGTGCGCGTGTATGCCGTTGATTTGGATCAGAGTCACTGAAGATAAATTACAGGGTATTGTGTATTGAGTACAATGTCTTCAAAGTGTATAGGTGTATATATGTATACGTGTATAGCAAATACCCACCTGTTGCTGTTCACAACCCGCGAATGATGTCGCCGCAACGCCTTGATCTGATTCAGTTTGTCGCCCTGCGTTTGCATCTGCTTCTTCTCGAGGGCCGTTTGTGACATGCGTACGGAGGATGCAATTGTATGACGGGCTGCCTCAAACACGTTGCTGCTTGGCTTGCGTAGCTTCTTCTCAGTGCAGCTGCCGGCTGGCTCCAGGCTGCCGGATATAGCGCTGCTATTGCCACTTGTGTTGCGGATACTTCCAGGATTGACCAGGCGGCGCAATGAATTGGCAATTACCGTTGGCTTGTTGGCATTCGAAGGCGATTTACGTCGGCGCGTCGACACTACATAGCTGGAGCCAAGCGTTTGATCTGCGGGCGCACTAGCCGTATCCGTATCATTATCACTGGCATTGCAATTGGCCTCGTCCGTGGAGTGATAATGCAGCTCCTGCAATTCCAGCTGCTGTTCTGATAGCTCCTCATCCGTTTGCTCGCAGCCTCCATCTAATGTATCCTGATCATGCAAATGCATTGTGTCCACACGCTGTGAAATGCGCTTAACCCGCGTCAACAGCAAATCGATATTCTCGAACGGATCCGACGTGGCAAGCTGCAGCGGCGTTTGCTCGACCATCTCATTCTTGCCCAATTTCTCCTTCAACTCAATGCTATAAATGCCGTACTTGTGCTGCAAAATTGGGATGCCCATACGACGACGCATCCGTTCGCCTTCTGACCACAACCAGCTCTGTTTGCTGCAAGAAAATGATAATTATTAAAGCTATTCAGTTTTAGAAGTGTTCAATGTTTACTCCTCCATCCACTGCTGCTGATGACCGATAACGGAGCCAGGTCGACAGAGGCGCAGCCAAGCAATTGCCTCCAGCGCAGTGAAACCGTAATGCTTCATAATGTAGGCACCGATCAGGCTGCCAGTGCGTCCAAGGCCCGCTTTGCAATGCACCGCAATGGCGCCCTTTGTCATCTCGCAGATGGACAAGAATTTTTTGAGTATCGTATCGCTGGGCGTGCTACCATCAATGAAGAACAAATCCTTATGCTCGAAGCCAGCATTCTCAAACGATGAGGCATGGTAGACTTTAGCGTTTAGCCGAATCACCGTCGTCACATGGTTGTCCCTGAAGTAGCTGAAGTAACGATCCGGCGCATGGCATGGATAGCCATTCGGCAGAGTTTTCGACTTCTGATGCGGTCCACAGAATGCAATAAACTTTTGCGGCACAATCCAATTGAAATCGCCATTCTCCACGCGCTCGAAGTACTCATACTCTTCCGCATCAAAGTCATTAAAGTTAAGAAAGCCCGCCTGCAGGCTCTTGTGTATGGCATTGAGGCAGTCGAGCAGTGAAATCTTAAAGCTGCTGGGTCCATAGCTGGCATCACAGAAGCGCGTATAGGCAGGCACCTCTGTACTCGTTAACAATCTGTACGCCACATCGGGCGTTTTATTCAGGTAAATTATCTGAAAAATAGAAAATTCCAAATGTTAATTTATACTTTCTCAATATACATAGTTTTATATTGATGATAAAATGTTCTATATGTTTTATATAAGCAGATTAGAGCATAGTAATTAACTAGTATAAGTATATGCTCTCTTAAACCGATTTCATTTATTATTTATTTTAGAATCGAGAAAAACTTTATTTGGGCATTGCTATCAAATGGATACTTTTAATACTCTTTAATCCTAACTTAACCAAGGATATACTTATTTATCTATTTGTCTATCAACTCATTCAATTTGTTAAGTAATAATCAAGAAGAACCCTTAGCTAGGTTTCGACAAACTTATAAATTGAATTTCTGGATTGCTTCAAGCTTTTTGATGATGTTCTAAATACTATACATATAATATATTTGATATATTCTATACTAGATATTATATACTATATAGACATATATAGACATCTTTGACAGTTTTAGCTTATTGGAAAGTTTAGTTTGGTAAAGTTATTATTATAATGATACGTTAAGGACCAGAACATATTCTATGAACAAGATTTCAATTTGCGTCTTTAGAGGCGTTAAACAAAAGTGATATATAGAATATACATCAACCCAAAATGGAAAGGTTGAACTTACTGCATACGAACCAATCAGGTAAGCCGCATTGAGACGCTTCGCCGGATTCATGGAGGTGTAATGCACGATTTTCTTGTTCGCGTGACTCTTGGCACTCAGTTTGCTGTTGAGCTTCATGCAATACCGATACAGTATGCATATATTGAGTGGCCCGAAATCGTTGTAAAAATTCTCATAGACAAACTCATCGTCTATGCTAAAGTAATGTGTCGAGGCCGTATTCTTTGGCTTGATATTCTTCTTAAATACAACAAAGAACAAGCGGTCTGAAATGCACAGAGAAAGCGAATTAGACATGGCCCAAACGAGTTCATTCCACTGCCAGTTTTAAATATTCAAATACCTTCTTTAAACTCTGTGGCACACACCAACAGATCCGAATTGTCGTCTTCCAGCATTTTGTGTGTGAATTCTTAGTAAACTGCAAAAGACAAAGAAAAATTCAATGAATGAATTGATTAAGTTCTATGTAAGCTTTCAACATCCTCTGCTATCTCATGCAGCAAACAAGATTCGATTATAGAGCACCTTTTTTAGACCCGGCCCACGCTTGGTATTCTCTCCACAATACTTCCGCTTGTTTCCATCATAAATAACTTTTATACTTTTGCCATTCATCTCAAGCCAATAAAATCGCCCACCCAGCAAACTTTGCCTTAATTGAACAAAGTAAATGCTGTTTTCCGCTAAAAACATATCAATATCAATATATATATATATATATATATATATATATATATATAGATAGTCGTAACCCATATTGAAATACTAAACAACAAAGTAGATGTGTTTCATTCGTTTTGGCCTGCTTAGCAGCCAAGAGGACAATGTCTGCGATGATGCCGCATTTTCCATATTTGCCCCAGTTTTCCATTGAGACATTTAGACAGACATGTGTATGTGCGTGTGTGTGTGTCGGATATGAGTTTATTGATATGCATAAAAGGCACGTAAGACACACAAATTTTGTCGACATCCGCATCCTAATAAAAACTATAAGTGCATAGCAAAGCAACGACTATTTAACACGCTTGCCAAGAACCTTACGATATATACGTATATATATTATATTTATATATATAAGATATGCAATTATTTTAAGATTAACAGTGTACTTTATAACATAGGTAACTCCTTGTTTGGGCAAGGCAACTGTTGTTAGCCAATTAAATTCTAATTTGTATTTCCTGAATCACTTTCAATTGCGCCCACGCTCCGCATCGAAACTGGAAAGAACACCTAACTTAGGTATTTCAAACCATATAGGAGGGCATATTGAGTTTAACTGTTAATAATTGTTCTCATAAGAATTCAATTTAGTATAGTAAAGTTTATAACTGTCTAGTTCAAGCTGCAAATCAAATTTGTTGCACAACAATTTTAAGATTTCAAACGATATTAATGTTTTATACATTTGAATAATTGTTTCCAATATTAAAGATACTTCAATTGAGAGTTCGAATAAGTCAAAACCTACCATACTAATGGTTATACATAGTAAAATATATTTAAGAACTTAACTTTGACCAATTCATTCCATAGAAATATATAATGTAGTACTTTAATTTAAAATAGTACAGTCTATATCTGTTAAGTTTGGTCTAGAAATCTTAAACTATAAAAGCTTTCGCGATAAAATCATTTAGAAATATTTTCCAATTAAAAGATCTCATAGTTCTATAATTTGATAATTAAGATCGCCTTTAGAGCTATGTTTACCTATAATAATTCCTAGGATTTCGCTTATATCATATGACAAAATGATAATACTCTATTTGACACAAATATAAAGAGTATAAAAAATATAAATTTCATTTTATATTGCAGCATATTGAAGATGTACGACAAGCGCATATAAATATCGATTGAAAAGCAATAAAAACCAAAGTAACAAAAACTTTTACTGACAGAAAAACAAAACAATTTCGAACATATGAAACATGAGTTGGGCTAAAGTCTTGACACAATAGTTGGGCACTAAAACGTTTTTCTTTTTTAGTCCTTAAGCAGAGCTGATGGAAATCGTGGAGGACTGTGGGGCAGCAAAGTTTATGATGTTGGCCTGCCATGTCGAGGAATGTGTTTCGTCATGCACACACATAAACACACTCACACACACACACACACTCACTCAGACCAACACTTTAATAATATTCGATTTTATGCAAATTTGTAACCTTTTGCTTAGTTAGTCCAAAGAGCAGTTGGCGTGCCGTTAGGGAATTTTTTTTTTTAGTGAAGGGACCTACATTTCCTTTTCCGGATTTAAAGTTTAAAAGTCAAGAAAGCAGAAAACAGAAAACACAAACCTCAATACATGCCAGGTCAGGCAGGCAGGCAGCCAGACAGGAGTTGGGGCAAACGCTAGAGCTAAAGATAGATTGCAATTAAAGTGAGAAACTACGGACACAGGTGGGCTAGCACACAGGCAGTATATATACATATATCTACTTGCGCTTCTATATAAGCCAGAAGCAGCAAATTTATGTAGTTCGGATATGAAAGTAAAAATAGTGGCGTGTAGCTTCAAAGGTGTGCCATGGCCTAAAGAGAAATATACGGACTTGAAGAACTATGTAATAGATGTGTACAGTATAGCCTGCCTAAGCCAGACACGTATAATTTTGATCATTGTTCAAATTATTGAATATGAAATCTCTTTAAAGATATTAAAAACAAAAATAAAATTAATTAAATTTGGAGGCATATTTAAAGTATTCAAAAACATTGTAGTATTCAGACGGAATAGGTATAATAAAACATCTAAAATGGGAAATATAAAGTAGTTATGATATCATATGATCATTATAGGAATTATATTGTTTTATATATCGTATATCTGATGACGTCACTACTATATATACTAGCAGTTACCCATTTTAGATACTTTTATTATTTTTTTGCAATTATTATACATTTTTTCCAATTAACAGCCGTTAAATTAATATTTTAACACATTGTACATTTTAAGTATACTTTTTTTTATAATTTCATACAAATATATGCATACACAATTACGTACGTATGCGGATCTCATCAAACAGATTGAACAGTGTTGGTAAATGAAAAACTTCTAACGGATATTCATACCTTTCTATACAAAGTTTATAAAAGAGCGTTCGCCGCGCTCTGAAATTCCAACGCGCCAAAACAAACACATGAGTAAGTATATGTACATATATACATACATACATGTGTATATACTTGCAGCTATGTGCAGTCCACGTGACGACAACAAATCATATCAGTAAAAAAGAAACATTCACACACGCACACATGTACATATTTCATATACCTACATATACACACATGTAGCGCTTATCGGCGTTCGCGACATGTAAACATTGAAAAGGGGCAAGCAAAAGTAAGGTATCTACTTGCATTCATTCGCTTTGTAGTTAGAACTAAGCTGCTCTAACAATAAGCATTTAAAACAACTTTTTTAAATATAGAACTGTCAAATGACGTCACCAACTCGCAACAATAGCAAACTACAACTACAATAACATCAAAATAAAAGCCACTCTCTGTTGTCAACGTAAAATGAATGGCGATGTTCGGCAGCGGCGATTCACAGTTAGTTGTCAGTTTTTATTTAAAAAAAAAAAAAGAATGAACGCCGAGGCCGAAGCAGAGATTTTTGCCGCGCACAAACACAAGAACCAAACAGAAAGCAATTCACAACTACAACAGCAATAGCAACAGCAACAGCTTCTCCACTGGCTCCACAGTTACCACAACGCTTATTATTGCCCACCACTGCGCATGCCGTATGCTCTTTTTCGCTCTCGCGCGCGCTCATTCGCTCTCTATTGCTTAAAAGCTGATGCGACTTATTCTCCCGCTCTCCTTCATTTACACTTGTTCATTTAGCTGCCTGTGCATGAGTGTGTGTGTGTTGGTGTTGTATTAATAAAAGCAACCAACGCATTTTTCTTCATCCAACACAAAATGAAACTAAACGCGAAATATCGAAGAAGAAGCAAACGTCGCTCTGTATGCTATGTGTACTGCGTAATCAATTTTTGGGGGTATATTCGTAGTCGTATAGCAGTCCACTGGACTATATTTGTGATATTCGGGTGGCGAGGGAACTTGTAACAGTTGCACAGTTGGCAGGCAAGTTCAAATATATCTATGTACGTACATATGCGTATGTAGCTATGGACTCACCTAAATATATTTGGGTGCTTATGTATAGATATGCACAACGGGTTGGGGCAACAGCAACAGCGGCCGTAAGCACACCATAAAACTAGAAATTTTGACTATGACAAAAAAATGGAATCCGCATAACACAGTACCTCACAGTATTTTTTTTGTACTTCTTTTCTGCGTTTTGAATGTGGGGGAGGATTAACGAATTTTCATGACAAATTTAACACATATAATTTTGTAGTTATGCTGCCCAGTTTATAACATTTTTAGTTAAGTTTTAATTTTGGTTTGACGACTGTTTCTTTTCTCCACTTTTTTATGTTTTCAAAAATCGTAACGATCTCTTGGGGAGAGTGCGACTAACGCTCGAGTTCGTGTGCGATCGACTGCTCGGTATGAGCTCCAAAAGTGAACTGACAATTCGTTGCGGCGTTGGCGCTTTTTCCGTTGCATTTTGTGCTCTCTTTCGTTTCGTGTTTGTGTGAGCGCCGCAAATACCCCGCTCACCCATTAGTGATATGTTGGCGCTATTATATTCACCAATACTAGCACTCTCACAAGTTTACGGCCGCTCTCTGTCTCACTCTCTAAGGTTACCAGGGCTGCAAAAATTGCATTGCCAACGCATTTATATTTTAGCGTTGCCAATCATTACAATTATGTTCCACTCCACTCAGTATCAATGTCCGATAAATTCAAATAAAGAAAATTACTAAATAGATTTAAAATAAAACTAATGTGAATCATGGTAAAATATTTGCAACAAAATAAATAAATACAGCTACAAATGAAAAATAATTAAATAAATTACCTATATGTTTACTTGAGAGCTATAAAGAAGGCACTGATTGTGCATCGCATACAAAACTCTTTCTCACTCAAACACATGCAGTCAAGAGAAAAAGAGAGAGTTATATTAACACCTTACGCTCATTTTGAGTGATTGTGCGATTGTGCATCTGTGTTAATTGAGTGAAAGTCAGCGTACTTGTTGCATTGAGAATGTTGAATTCAGTTGAGTGTAATGAAATGTACCACAATTGATCCTTTTATTTAATTTGCTTAGTAGTTTGTGTGTGCTGGTAATTGCTAACATTAAATTCAAAAATTAAATAATATACATATGTTTAAGGTTTAGTATACTCCAATGACATCAAGCTCTATACATAGATTTAGGTACAAATCGTTGTTATAGTACCTGCAACCACATACTTAACTCAGCAGGTACAGAGAAATTGTAGAGTGTATAGGTTACTCTATGACTTCATCTGTGTGTTGTCCACTCTTATACATGTGATCGCTCTTGAGCTCTCGTTTAAAAGTATCTGACATACGCTGTGCAGGCCGCATAACAAACCGCTCGCTCAGTAACGAGTGTGGATCTTTGGTGAACGGACGGGTTTTTCGGTAGTCCCGGTTTTTCTTTCGCCGTCCTCTGATTGTCTTGGAAAATATCTTCTTGTGCATGTGTGCGTGTTTGTGTGCTCCCTTTAAGTTTATAAAAAGAAGTTGAAAAGTGTTTGCTGTGGCAGCACCAGAAGCAACAACAACAACAGAAATTGTGTAGTGTTTGTTGTTTTCTTGTGTATAACAGAAAATGTTGTATTAAAAGTGCAAGGAATTGGAGTGGGAGCTGTGCCATAGCGTGGTAAGTGAAATAAACATGTAAAATTGTTCTACACATTTGTACTGTGACTTCATATAACAATTGTTAAGTTCGTACGCAATTCGAAGTACGCAGCTGTTATTGTTGTTGTTGCCGCTGCTGCTGACTGAGTTTATCTGTTATGTTCCGTTTGTTGTTACTTCTTTTTCTGCTTTCGTCTTCTACTTCTCTGCATCCGCTGTTACTCTCGCTACTGTTGTGTGCGTGTGTTTTTTATTTTACTGCAAGACTTATCGCTAGGCTGAGATTTGTACTCAAAAATTATTTATTTTATTTGTCACAACAAAAGTTTACAATGTAAAGCACATGAATTCTTTCGGATTATATGCGACTTGTAACACGATGCCTCATACCCAAATCCATTTGAGAATGTCTTGCCTTGCATATAGCATACATATGCCCGTGCACATAGCTGGCGAGGGTAGCTCAAGTTGTTTTTGTCTGTCGATTTGCACTCGCTTAAAAGATGTTTAAAGTGTTTTGTAAGTTAGTATTACAGCATACAAAATACAAAGTATTTAAAATACATAATATATATAGATACATTATATAAAAAAAGTATAAAGTATAATAAAGCTAAAATTTCCTCTTGCAATTTAACTCCAATATAAGACCCCAAAAATATTTTCAAAATTTAATTTCCTATAAAACATAATGCACTAGTCTAAGCTACTGATGTACTCCCTAAGCCACCCTCGCACATTCTGTTCGTATATATGTATGTATGTCTGTATGTTTATGTGTGCAATGCATTTTGCACTAGGCAAGGAATAGCGCATTAAAAGCTAAGCAAATTGTCTTGCAACGAGGTTATTAATTAAACTAAGAGCCAAGCTTAAGTCTGTCCGATCTGTATATGAAAGATATAGTTAAATAGCTGTGCATTTCTATATATATATATATATCTATCTGTATGTGGGCAGGACTTAGTTCAGGCCTAATAATAGTTTTGCCGTCGCATGCATGATCTCATATTGTATATTTGGGTTGGGAGTGAGAGAGAGAGAGAGGGAAGTTCCACACATGTTCTCCATAAGTAAAAACATTTCCAGCTGAGGATGTGTGGTCAATAAGCAGCGCGCTCTGATGGAATTGAAAATATAAACATGGCAAAGCTAAGCAAACACTCACATAAGCAAAATTTTATGAACTTGTCGATATACACTGCTGCACATATATATATATATTTATATATATATATTTATATATATATATTTATATGTAGTATATATGTATGTAAAATAAGATAGCTGTAGACAGAGCAAACAGTAATTTGAAGTAAAAATGGGAACGTTGCCTGCTTCACGTTGAGACTTGCTGAATGTTCGGAGCTTCATCCATTGCATTCTATTCTATTCTTTAAGATTCCAGGAAAATGTTCAATATCATAAATTTACAAGTAATATTTCTTTAAATGTTATACACACATTTTTCTTTAAATAATCTTAATTTCTACAAGTCAAATACATTCAAATACTTGATATATATTTTATATTAAAGCATGTACAATAGTTGTTCATAGTCTAAGTCTAGTTTTTAAATTTTTTATGTCTGAAGAGCGAATCTGCAGTAACTTAACTATTTAGTTTTTCTATAGTACCTATACACAGTTTTCCAAGTTAATTGTGGATTTTTATATATCTGTTCCAATTTTAGATCTTGACTTGTCCTGAGTATATGTGTATATGCATATGCCAAATGTTATGTCTAACAGCTTAAATAATAGCTTTTCTGTTTTACTAGATATGAAAAACCCGAATTCGTACGTCTCTGGTGGGCATATCAAAATAAGGCTTAACCCTTTATCAGACAAGGGTACTAACAAGATATCTCTACATATCTCTGACCTTTCCGCTTATACGAACAGACATCACAGGCAGATTTCCGTTCACTTCATGTACAAGTAAAACAAAGAAAGTAATTATTTACTTAATATAACTTACTCTATTGTCAATGTGAAGAATCCTCAGTTTAAGAACTCAAACTTTCGCTTTGCTTTGGCATGAAAAATAATTTTTAACAATCTTGAAACAATATCAAAAAAAAAAAAAAAATGAAAAAGAAAATCAAAAATATCATTATAATAAAACATAAAAAAAATAATATATTATTATATTAAATAATATATTACTATTAAAAATAATATATTATTAAAAATATAATTTAAACATATTTTTACTTCAACTGAAGCTAGAATGTCTTATAAAAAAATACTATTTAGATTTATATATGATATATATGATATAATATAAGTCTCATCTTTATGCAAATAGTAATGGCTTTTTTCTAAGAACTGCAATTTGAATTCTCTTTTTGCAGTTCCCTACTATGAAACTTATAAAATCTTTTATTTACGTTAAATTCTCTTTACCAAGCTCTACAACACTTCTAAAAAGGCAGGGTATTTCTCAGTCTAGCATTTCATTTTACTGTGCTCACAAGTTATGTTTATTCAATACCATTTCATAAACAAACACAAGCACATCGCACAGAATTTATCTCTGTGCATCGGTTGTATCTCAGTGTGTGTGTGTGTTTGGTAAATTAACGTTTTGTTTAGTTCCTTGATTATTTGTTTATTTTCTAGTCTGTCTTTTTGTGCTTTTTTGTGTTGCGCCCCAAACGAAACTGAAATTAACAAAAGGCAAAAAGCAAAAAATAAAAGAATCTTCAGCAATTAAAGGCGGGCAACAGGAAAGTTGAATTTGCTGTTTATCAGATACACTGAAATCAACTGTGTTATCTGAATATGGGTTAAGCTATGCGAGAATGGATACTGAAAAGGTCAAGTCAGAGCTATTTTTACTATATACATATTTACTTTGTTGCAAACTAACAGATTTTTAGATATATTAAATTTCTATGACAGGGAAATTTTGTAACTTAAAATACGAAATTGACTCAAGTCTAAAATAGAATTTACGATTTACTATTGAATGAGTTTTTCGACTGCCAAGTTAGTTGGGATTCGATTTCTAGTATAGAATATAATTGTATAACTAGAATAAAAACTTAAACCATTTTTAGAGTATATAGTAGTATGATCTTTTCTTAACTTGAGTTTCGTTTACCTCTTCAACTTGACCTTTGCTTTCCCTCAACAGAAATTAGACTATGCGAAACGTATCGAAATACTTTTGGATAACTTTCTAAGACAGTTTTTTTTAATATTTATGTATTTTTATATATAAATATATAACTAACTAAAGTATATATTTTATATATTCAAAGTTTCTTTTGTCCATGTTACACACTCAAAGCCATATTTATGCTGTCCATTTGTTAGTGTATAGAATCCGCTAATGGTCTTGGGCATAACACGCACACGCATACACACATACACAGCCAGACAATCGCAGAGTTATCAACATATAGTATACATAGTTCTGCATCTGTGAATGAACTCTTATCGGTTTCATGTCGCATTCGAAATTACAAAATAGTTGTGCAGACTCATTTAACAGAGAGAGAGAGAGAGGGAGAGAGAGGGGCAGAGAGAGAGAGAGAGAAAAAGGAGACAGAAAGTGGAAGAGAGAGAACATTTGCCTTGCTTGATTTCATCTCAATCCATATCAATGACCACATCAAAGGCACAAGTTTCTGACTTATGTCAGCTTATCTCAAGCTGTTGCCGCTGCTGCTTCATCTTTAGCACAGTTTCCATTTTATTTAGTTGCGTGTCCCATGGAACATGAAACTTGGCTGATAAGAATAAAGACCCAGATTCATAATAAGACTGAAACTTAACACGATTTCAATCAATTGAGAGCAACAAGTTTATATAAATATTGAAAAGAAATTTTAGACATAGAAAGTTTAAGACAAAAAAAAACTTTTGAAAATGTATTAAAAATTTATAAATAAATATTAAAAAAAAATTAAATTAATTAATAATTAATCAAATTAAATTAAATATTTATTTATAATATGAACACAAAATAATGTGATGATGTAGCAGTTGTACAACAAAATAGAGAGCAAAGGATAGAGATTTAATAGACTTGATTTCTTAAATATCATATCTATATTTATTTTATATTTTTATATGTTTATATATATATAAAGTTGCCTGACATCTAGATGTTAGAAGTTCTTAACGTTTCATGTAATGTATTTTTAATACTTGTTTAGAATAATTAGAGTTAGTTAATTAATTAGTTAATTATGTGAACTACACTTATTTTCACTTATATTCCGCAAGGGTTAGTGGATATTAAAAAAGACAGTTGCTTTTGCTTTAAATATTCATTCAGTTTGTATGTAGAATTATGCCTAATGAACTTATAACTAAGCTCTGTTTAATAATTGTTTTACAACAGAGAAACAGTCAAAGCTAATGTATATATATATAATTATATATATATATATATATATATATATATATATATATATATATATATATATATATATATATAACTCTTTTTAATGTTTTTAATGTGGGACACTTTAGGCAGCTGTGTCTAAAAATAATCATCATCTTTGGTTGAGCATTTAGTACATGTCTTAAATGCTGATAAACACCAGTCACTAGGCACCAGGCAACAACGGATTGTATATAGTGTATATATGTGTATATGGTTGTACATGTTCTCTTGTTTATCGCCCTAAAGTCGAACTCATGTATGCTCGGATTCATTCACATTTAGCTTGGAGAAGGCTTTGGTTGGCGCTCAGTTGATGCGTAAAAGTCGTTGGGTACGGACGTTTCTCCATTTCGGGGGTCGAAGCTATAAGAAATTTATATTAATATTAGAGCTCTTGGAAACTGTTGATAAGCGTTGCAGTTGAGAAGAAATAATAATTCTAATTCAAATTTTATGTCATTTCAGGGCACAGATAAGCTGCAGCTAGAGAATCGAGGCAAAATGAGTGCTCAGCACTCATAGGAAGGAAGTTAAGGAAGAGTGAGTATGATATATATACACATATCTAGACAAGATAGTGAACTAAAGTATTGGTATTCCTTTAGCTTATCCACGTGGTCTACATTCTGTAAAGGAAATCGAACGAAAGCTGATTAAGAAACGGAGCCGGAAGCGCTCTAGTGGAACACGACCTCAAGCCCCAAGACAGACAGCCAACGAGTGAGGCAAACACCCAACGGGAGAGAGAGAGAGAGCGCGCAAGGGAGAGTGGGAAAGCGTGTGTGAGCGAGATCGAGCAAGATCTTGAGAGCATACGCGATGTCGCTTCGCAGCGGCCTTATCGCGCTTTTCTTTGTGCTCGCCGTGCTCCAGCAGCTGGAGGCGCAGCGTTTGCCACAGTCGCAGCAGCAGCACGGACGTCGCGATCGCCCGCGCAATCCGCCACGGCAATATGTTAAGACACATCCGTGTGAGCGTTCCTCCTGCTATCCGGCAACGGGTAATCTGCTGATTGGACGCGAGAATCGTTTGACGGCCAGCTCCACGTGCGGTTTGCAATCGCCGGAGCGTTTCTGCATTTTATCGCATCTGGAGGATAAGAAGTGTTTCCTGTGCGATTCACGGGACGAGACGCGCAACGATCCGTACAAGAATCATCGCATTGGACAGATCATCTATAAGACCAAGCCGGGCACCAATATCCCCACCTGGTGGCAGTCGGAGAATGGCAAAGAGAATGTCACATTGCAACTGGATTTGGAAGCGGAATTTCACTTTACCCATTTGATCATCACCTTCACCACGTTCCGGCCGGCGGCTATGTACATCGAGCGTAGCTTTGACTTTGGCAAAACGTGGCATGTGTATCGTTACTTTGCCTACGATTGCGCCGAATCATTTCCAGGCGTGACCACGATTCTGCATAACATCACCGACGTGATGTGCACATCGCGCTACTCCTATGTGGAGCCATCGCGCAACGGCGAAGTCATCTTCCGTGTGCTGCCGCCGAATATCAATGTGTCCGATCCGTATGCGGAGCACGTGCAGAACCAACTGAAGATGACGAATCTGCGCATCCAGATGACCAAGCTGCACAAGCTGGGCGACAATCTGCTCGACAATCGTCTAGAGAACGAGGAGAAGTACTACTATGGCATCTCGAATATGGTGGTGCGTGGCTCGTGCTCCTGCTACGGCCATGCGTCACAGTGTTTGCCACTGGACGATGTTACCCAGGACTATGAGATGGTCCACGGACGCTGCGAGTGCACGCACAATACAAAGGGTCTGAACTGTGAGACCTGCGAGGACTTCTACAACGATCTGCCCTGGAAGCCGGCCTTTGGCAAGCAAACGAACGCCTGCAAGAAGTGCGAATGCAATGGACACGCCGTCAGCTGTCACTTCGATGAGGCTGTGTATATGGCCTCGGGTCAAGTCTCGGGCGGTTTCTGTGACAATTGCTTGCACAATACGCAAGGTCAGCATTGTGAGGAGTGCATGGCCTTCTTCTATCGCGATCCTGCCGAGCAACTGAGCAGCCCCAATGTGTGCAGGCCCTGCGACTGTGATCCCGATGGCTCCTTGGATGATGGTATTTGCGATTCGGTCAATGATCCCGAAAATGGCGTCGAGGCAGGCGCCTGCCATTGCAAGCCGAATGTCAAGGGACGGCGTTGCGATAGATGCAAGGATGGCTTCTGGAATCTGGATCCCAATAATCCCGAAGGCTGTGAGGCCTGCACCTGCAATACGCTCGGCACTGTCAACAATTCGGGTTGCAATATGCGCACCGGGGAATGCCAATGCAAGCGCCTGGTCACCGGCAAAGACTGCAATCAGTGTCAGCCGGAAACATTTGGCCTCTCCGAATCGGAAGATGGCTGCACGCTCTGCAATTGCGATACGGGCGGCTCCTATGACAACTATTGCGATGTGTTGACGGGCCAGTGTCGCTGTCGCTCTCACATGACCGGACGCACTTGCTCGCAGCCAAAACAGAACTATTATATACCCGATCTGCATGTTGTGCACGATGCCGAGGTGGCCGACATGTGCATCTCCTACAGTAACAATGTCAATTGCAGCAACGTGCCACAGGTGCCGCCCTCTGGCCATGCTCCAGACTTTACGGGCATCGGCTTTACGCGTGTGCCCGAAAACTCCGAGATGATCATAACTGTGGATGATATACCACGTTCTATGCCCTACGATGTGGTAATACGTTATCAGAGCACGTCTCGCAACGACTGGGAAGGTGCCTACATAACGCTGGTGCGTCCAGATGAGATTGATCCGCAGGGCGAATGCGCTCAGGCCATACAGTCACCCATAACGGAAGCACGCGTCCCATTCACGTTTCCCGAACGCGATCGCCAGGTGGTAGCTCTGCACGATGTCTGCCTAGAGGCGGGTAAGGTCTATAAGTTCCGCATCTTTTTCGAGCGCAGGCGCCACAACGAGGACAATCCGACAGCCACCATATTGGTGGACTCACTGACACTGATACCACGCATCGAGGTGACACCCATCTTCCATGGATCGCCCGTGGCCGATCTGCGTCTGCGCGAATACATCAACATGAACTGCAATCAATCGCTGTACGATATGCGCTACAAGGATCACACCTCGGCTATATGTCGCAGCCTGGAGCAGGACGCCAGCAAGTATATCAATAACGGCGCCAGAATGTGCAATTGCAATCCCACTGGCTCGCTGAGCAAGGAGTGCGAAGCCAACGGCGGCTTCTGTCAGTGCAAACCGAACGTTGTGGGCAGACAGTGCGATCAATGTGCCCCGGGCACCTACGGCTTTGGCCCGGAGGGTTGTCAGTCCTGCGATTGCAACAGCATTGGCAGCAAGGACAACAATTGCGATCTGCTGACGGGCCAGTGCGCCTGCCATCCGAACACCTATGGACGCGAGTGCAATCAATGCCAGCCGGGCTATTGGAACTTCCCCGCCTGCCGTGTCTGCGAGTGCAATGGCCATGCGTCCGTGTGTGATGCGCTAACTGGACAGTGCATCAATTGTTTGGACTCTACGGATGGCTTCAACTGTGACACCTGCTTGGATGGCTACTACGGTGATCCGTTGCTGGGCAGCGAGATTGGCTGTCGTGCCTGCCGCTGTCCGGACACCATTGCGAGTGGCCTGTCGCATGCCGATGGCTGCTCCTTGGACACGCGCAACAACAATATGCAGTGCAACTGCCAGGACGGCTATGCGGGCGCACGCTGTGAGATCTGTGCGGACAATTACTTCGGCAATCCGGAGGCTGGGGGCAGCTGCTCCAAGTGCCAGTGCAGCAACAACATCGATGTCTACGAAACGGGCAATTGCGATCGTCAGACAGGCGCCTGCCTCAAGTGCTTGTACGACACGACAGGCGATCATTGTGAGCTTTGCCGCGATGGCTATCACGGCGATGCACTGCAGCAGAATTGCCGACCATGCGAATGCGACTTCCTGGGCACCAACAAGTCGCTTGCGCACTGCGATCGCTTCACGGGTCAGTGTCCGTGCCTGCCCAATGTTCAGGGACTGTTGTGCAACCAGTGCGCGCTGAATCACTGGAAGATCGGCTCTGGCGAGGGCTGTGAGCCGTGCAATTGCGATGCAATTGGCGCTGTGCAGGAACAGTGTCACACCTTCACAGGCCAGTGCGAATGCAAGCCCGGCTTTGGCGGACGTGCGTGCAATCAGTGCCAGGAGCACTTCTGGGGCAATCCCAACGAGAAGTGCCAGCCCTGTGAATGCGATCAGTTTGGATCCGCCGACTATCAGTGCGATCGGGAGACGGGTCAATGCGTCTGTCACGAGGGCATCGGCGGCTACAAGTGCAATGAGTGCGCTCGTGGCTATCTGGGTCAGTTCCCGCATTGCGCTCCATGTGGCGAATGCTTCAACAACTGGGACATAATACTGAAGGCCTTGGATGAGTCCACGCAGGCGACCATACAGCGTGCCAAGGAGATCAAACAGGTCGGCGCAACGGGCGCCTACACCACCGAGTTCAGTGAGCTGGACAAGAAGCTCCAGCACGTACGAGATCTGTTGCAGAACACATCGGTCAGTCTACAGGATATTGATCAGTTGGATACTGCTGCCAACGCACTGAAGCAACAGCTGGTCAACTCGCATCAGCGACTCAGCGAAACGGAAGTCAAACTGGATGAGATTTACAACTCGCTCAGTGTGTCCGCCGTGGAGCTGGAGGGCTTGCAGAATCATTCGCGTCTCGTGCAGCAGTTGTCCCGTGAACTGAAAGAGAATGGCATTGAGCTGCAGGAGTCCAACATTGAGGGTGCACTCAATCTAACCCGTCATGCTTACCAGCGTGTGAGCGGCCTGTCAGCTCTCAAGGATGAGGCCTCGGAGCTGGCGTCCAACACAGAGCGCAACTGCAAGCGCGTCGAGACGCTGACCAACAAGATTAAGGACGAAGGCGATGCCATTGCGAATAATGATAAGACCATAGCCGATTATCGTGCAGAGCTGAGTGGATTGACCTCCCAAATTCCAGATCTAAACAATCAGGTGTGCGGCAAGCCGGGCGATCCCTGCGACAATCTCTGTGGCGGTGCTGGTTGTGGCAAATGCGGCGGCTTCCTCTCCTGCGAGAATGGCGCACGTGCTCATTCCGAGGAGGCGCTTAAGCTGGCCAAGAATACAGAGGCGGCCATAACTAGCAAAAAGGATGCAGCGGATCAGACCATACGCGCCCTAACACAGGCCAAACTGAATGCCTCTGAGGCGCACCAGAAGGCTCAGCTTGGATTTGTGAAATCCGAGCGCTATTTGAACCAAACAGATGAGAGCATCAAGCTGGCCGTCAAACTTTTCGAAGAGGTCAACGACTTTTTGCAGAATAAAACGGCGCTTCCCGCCGAGAGTAAGCAATTGGCACAGGACACACTGCAGCTGGACCTAACGCTCGACCCCAAAGAGATCGAGTCACTGGGTGTGAAGATCAACGATGCTGTCTCCTCGCTGAAGAACGTCGAAGCGATTATATACAAAACACGACCCGATCTAAATAACGTCAACGACCTACAGACCACGGCCAACAACACCAAAGCGACGGCTAACGAGATATTGGAGGAGGCCAATTTGGTGGTCCAGAATCTGGTATCCGCTAGCGAGTCTCAAGGCAAGGCACAGAATGCCATACAGCAGGCAAATAGCAACATTGAGCTCGCCGACAAGGATCTGGAGCAAATTGATCTGGAGACCAAAGAGGCCGAAGCGCCTGCAAACAAAACTGCACAGCAGGTCGAGAATTTAGCCCGCAAGGTGCAGCATCTACAGAAGAATATACTGAAAAACGAAATGGATGCACAGCAGATCACCGAGCAGGCGAATCGCGTCAAGCAGGAGGCGATCCGTGCACGCGGCGAGGCCAGCAATCTCCAGTTTTCGACAAGTGCCACCAATCAAACGCTCACGGATCGCGCCAATCGATCCGAGCATGCGCGAGAGCGCGCCAAGCTTCTGCTGCAGCGCGCCTCCAAGCTGACGGTGGACACCAATGAGAAACTCAACGAGCTCAATATGCTGCAGAATACCTATGTGGATAAGAACAAACAGCTGGAAAAACTGGAAATGTCCATACAGCCGCTCAACGATCAGCTCAACATCTATCTGCGTAACATTCAGGAAAATGCCGATCGTTTCCGACAGTGCACAGTTTAAAGAGGTATGTAGGTGTGTGAAGGTGTGCAAATTGTCTATATAGTCGACTAGTCTATACTCTGTTTATAAATATATTTAAATGGGTATAGAGTGAGCCGCGTTAGGCAAGTTTGTGAGGCGTTTCTTTAAATTGAAATAAGCCTTAGACTAGATCTTATACAAATTTCCCAATATAATTTATTTATGGCTTTTTCTTAGCCAAGTCATAAGGTAATATTTTAAAATATTAATGTTAAATATTTATTTTTTTTATATATTTTATAAAATTTTTAATATCTTTTGTTTATTAATTTTTATTTTTCATTTTACCTTGTCAGATCTAAAGTCAAGCCTGAAGTATCCATTTTTACCTTCAGAAATAGAGTATAATGAGTAATAAACAAAGTCTCAAATAAGTCAGTTTGTATTTCGTCGATTAGCAACACTACAGCAAATAAACATTTTTTTTTTGAGAAACTTCAATATTTGCATGCTCTACATTTTGTAAAAAGATAATAATAATTATATATTTCTCAATTTAATTGCAGTTGCGAGCCCAGCGGCCAGCTCAACCATTGCCATATTTTATGAACAAATGCGTAATGCAGCATCAGCAGCATCATCAACAACAAAGGCAACAAGTTATTTCTATTTAACGCTGTTAAGTGTAACCGTTACGTTTTGTACTATAAGCAATCAATGTTAAATGCAATATTCAATTCAAATTTATGTCATTTTTATTGAGCTAAGTTTTTCTTAATCCTACATAAATACACAGAAAGAAATGAATACATTATTTTTGTAATGCGACAAACTAAATGAAAAATACAATAAATATAATTAAAATACCTACTACTTTAAAAAATATCCCAGTTTTATTTCGAAAAGCAGGGAACTTATTAAAAGAGCATAAATCCCTTTAAATTGTTTAATAGAATTGCATTTGTTTGTGCATGCAGCAAGCACACATTTATCTATATAAATATTTTTATATACATATATCAATTTGTTTATTTGCACGCCATGGCAAAGCATAATAAATAATACTATATATCAAAAATCTGCCAGTTGGCGGTTTGTCATTCCGTTTTGTTGCAGTTCTGCTCCGCATCGCTTGCAGTTCTTGTTTTGATTGTTAATTTCATAAGTTGCCCAAAAAAACATTGAGTTTTAACTTTCTTCCTTTGTGTACAATTATTTTAAAAAAATGGAGAAATTAATAAGCTCATAACTGACTGCCATGGATAGGCGATATGTGCACTCGGGCAGAAACTCTGCAGGTATAAAATCCATTCTTTATTTAAATACTTTCAGAGAAAACTCCACTGCAAACAAAACACACAAAATACAACGTTAAGTAAAGTGAGTACAAGCACAATTTAACATGTATTCTAAATAAACCGCAGGGTATATACAGAAGAGTGCTAAAATTCTGTTTCAATTTAATGTGGTCACACTATTTTGCAATTGATAGACTATCGATAGTTTCAACAACTGAAAATCATAACGGCTGTGCTTATTAGTCTTTAATAATTTCCCAAAAATAATATAATAGTAATAGCATCAGCGTTATATTAAAGTCAATATTTTGATTACTCTGGTAATTTATATATTCCCTGTTTTACATACTTTTGTTTTGTTATTAAAATTTAAAATTTTTCATTTATTGTGTGTTGCAAAATAACTAAACTTTAATACTACAAGCACAGATTCAACAGTTGTCGTTCACTATAACGTATTGTATGCTAAAAATAAACAATGATCCATCTGTCAACAGCAAAAAAGAAAAAGAAAACAAAGAAAAATAAAAAATATTCAGAATTTGTTTAAAATTAATAGAGTGAGTATTAATCAAAATTTTTTGTTGTTCAGTGTTATTCATTCAGAGTTCAGTGTTACCACTTGGAACATTAGCGAGTAGTTATATTGAAGCTGTACTGTGTTGGTATTACCAATGTATGTTCGTGTATATTTACGCACAGGCACGCACACACACATGTAGCGTACATAGACGGATGTTGTTCTTGTTTTTGTTTTATGCAAGCAACAGAGGCTATTAATAAGAATATTCTGAAATAATATAATGGTACAAAAAGTCGGGCGAATCTGCTGTGCAATAATACGTCAAAAAATGAGAGCGACACAAAGCAAAAGTCGTCAATAAGGGAAAGAAAACGTGAAGAAGCGGAACGGAAAGGAAAAGTGCAGACGCAAATAAATAAATCGAAATTTCGATTTTGAATCCAAGTGCTGCTGGTCCCTGATTATTGTGCGGTAGTGGTTTCATTTCTATCAAATCGCACTCGCACGCTATCCCCAAAATTTAATACTCACATATAATTGTTACATATAAGTAGCATAAATATCAGATAACGTGACCAAATCGAAAAGAACGAGCCGATTCTTTGACTACAACAAAATAAGGCTCCATCAATGGATGACGAATTGGAAGACAAGATCTTCTATCAGACATACGTTTCACATATGAAAATCCTATCCAAGTTCGCAGTGGGCTTCTCGTCCATTAATTCGCCCTTGGCATATCTATGGAAACTATGCCGCATCTACGTGCTCCGTCCCGAGGTCATTTTCTGTGGCATCATTCTATTTGTCTTGTTAATCTATTTGCAAGCGGTAGATGTGTGGAGTCGCGGCATTTTGGGGCGCATTCAGGCAACACTCGGTAGGCAAAAGGCGCCACGAGTTATGGAAATGACAAGTGGCGCTGGCGATCATCAGAGCTGGGAAGAGGTACGTCAACAGAGTGCCGCCTTCGCTGTGCTAGGAAGACGACCTCATATGGAAGACAGGTGAGAGAAAGAGAGAGTGAAGCCCAAAGAAGCCAAGTTGACTTTCATATACATATGTCCCTGCTTACAGATTCATTATTGAGGAGAACATTAACAACAACACAGACATTTCGTTCTTTGCCGTTTTTGATGGACATGGCGGCGAGTTCGCTGCCAACTTTGCCAGGGATGTTTTGGTCAAGAATATTTATAACAAAATCATAGATATTAACAAGATCTTAAAGTCCGAGAGCTCGACAGAGTATAGTGGGTTCGATAAGAGCCCGTATCTGGCACGCAAGCAAAGTCGCAAAGATGTCACCAACAAGGAAAACGCTGATCCCGTTGCACGACGCGACAGTTTGCGTAAGGCACACAGCACCACAGCCGATTGCAGCGTAATTAAACAAAAGACAACGGAGGCAACTGTCGCCGACATTTATACGGCGCAGCTGAATAGCGCGATGCGCGCCAGCGGCAACAGTGCGGCAAAAGATTCATTTCTCAATAATAACAACAATGCACAAAATTCTGGCAATGCACCGCCGCCCAGCTACGAAGCCAAATGCTATATCGAACATGGACGCATCAATTTTGGCAAGCTTATCACAGACGAAATACTGGCAGCCGATCACAAACTGGTCGAGCAGGCCAAGCTCGCAGTGAGTGAGCCACCGGATTGCATTAAAAACCTTGATTTATGATGTATTCCCATTTCCTTTTGCAGACCAACATAGCAGGCACGACAGCTCTGATTGCCATTGTTAAGGACAGCAAACTGATTGTGGCCAATGTGGGTGACTCGCGTGGCGTTATGTTTGATTCACGTGGGATCGCTATACCATTGTCCTTCGACCATAAGCCGCAGCAGGTGCGTGAGCGTAAACGCATTCACGATGCTGGCGGCTTTATTGCCTTTCGCGGCGTTTGGCGTGTGGCTGGGGTCTTGGCAACGTCACGAGCGATGGGTGATTATCCCCTGAAAGATAAGGTATGCCGATGCTATTGCTCTATATAGATGGCGTGATGGGAATTTCTCACGTCACGTTCCATATCATATAGAATTCCCAATTGCTAATCAGCCTACACTTTATATTACCCCATACAGAATCTAGTCATAGCCACACCAGACATTTTGACCTTCGAGTTAAATGATCACAAGTGAGTGCAGCTGATGCCAAGTTAATGAACTCTTGTATTAACTGCGTCATTTGTTTTTATTTATATGTGATTGCCAGGCCCCGTTTTTTAATACTCGCCTCGGACGGCCTTTGGGATACATTCAGCAACGAGGAGGCTTGCAGCTTTGTGCAGGATCATCTCAAGGAGCCCGATTTTGGAGCCAAGTCCCTGGCCATGGAGTCGTATAAGCGCGGCTCTGTGGACAACATCACTGTCTTGGTCATTGTGTTTAAGAACGATGTCTACAAAATTGTCAACTCACCGGCTGGCAAAATCGGCGAAGTTCCGTTAGCCAAAGCTTCAGCTGCAACGGCTGTCGAACGCTCCAATTCAATCAAAACTAAGTAACGGGCCAGACTCTGTCCCATTTAAATAGCAACCTTATGAAGTGCCCAAGATATTTATACAATATAAGCCAGCACGATTATGTTTTTTTCGAATATAGGTGGCGTTTTTTCGGTTTCGTTCTAGGACTTAAAATTTTTTTAAAAATTGTTGTTTTATACAAAATGTTTAGAAAATATCACTCCCAATGCACTTTGTTATCCCCACCTCCTCCTACTCCTCACATACATCATCACTCATAAATATTTATTTAAATTAATTTGTTATACCTACATTTCTGTTTGTAAACCAAGAGAAAACCTTTTATAACTCTAAAAGAAAACGTTGAAATATAAAATACTCGAAAATTGTAACGATGAGTTTAAACGATTGGCAATAAAATTGATTTTTTAGGCCTGTGAAAATGCTTTAATGTTAAATGAAGCTTTTTTGTAACTTGAATAAATATATTCTGAGCCTATATTAGCATCTACATGTGTATATAACCCAAATTATAATTATATATAGGGACGGTGAAACTTTCGAGATATGGGTCACTGATGACGAGGACAAATTGATAAAAAAAAACGATATTCGCCTTAATGCACATACGAGTACTCTCATCCACCCAAACTACTCACATATACAACTCCAAATATTAATTTTGAAAGGCCATAAAACAAAATAAGATTTTTGTTTAAATGTTTATTGTTGTTTTGGCATAAACAAATCAATTTGCCATCGATTTATACGAGCTGTCAAACATAAAATTAGTTTAGTGCGCTGATACAGACACTTGCCAGACGCGAATGGTGTTGTCGGAGTAGCCGGCGAACAAGGTTTGGCCATCGGTGGACCAGGCCAGGGAGAGGCACTGTGGCTGCTCGGCCTTAGATGTGGGCGAGACTACCTCAGGGCGGAGCTCCTCGACGGTCTTCTTGCATGCCAGATCCCAGATCTTGATGGATGGGCCATAGGCGACGCACAGCCAGTAGCGGTTGGGCGAGAAGCACAGGGCATTGATGATGTCGTTGTGCTCCAGAGTGTACAGGTTCTTGCCGTCATTCAGATCCCAAAGCAGAGCCTTGGAGTCCTTGCCACCAGAGGTGCAGAGGGAACCATCGGGCGAGACGGTCACGGTGTTCAAGTAACCATTGTGGCCGTGGTGGTTGTTCTTCAACTTGCAGTTAGCCAAGTTCCAGACCTTGACGGTACGATCCCAACCGCATGACACGATAATGGGATTGGAGTGGTTGGGCGAGAAACGCACGCACGACACCCAATCAGTGTGGCCATCCTCCTGGATGGTGAACTTGCACTCAGCTAGAGTGTTCCACAGCTTGATGGTCTTGTCCCGAGAACCAGACACGATCTGACGGTTATCAGCCGAGAAGGCAACCGAGAGCACATCCTATAAGCGAAGAAAAATCAGTTTATTAGCTAGCAATTCTTTAGTTGAGTGCAGGTTGTAAAGTGAGTAGCGGATAGAGATCTTGTTGCCTACTTACGGAAGAGCTTCACGCAAAAGTATGTCGACTCAGGCGTAGAACTTTAAAGATGTCAACCAGAGAAATTCTGCCTCGCATAGGCGCAATATTTTTGTTTTTTTAAATATACATTTTTATGTATATTGGTATTGGTGTGCTAACTAAGTCTAACCTTACAACATGGGTCATATATACACCAATACCATTTGGGTGTGGGAGTTTAAAAAGCAGCGATTGCTGCAGCAATTCTAGGCCCTGTTCAAAAACCATTTGGTAAACCACTTGGAAACTTATCCCACCTTGGTGTGTCCCTCGAAGCGGCGAGTAGTCTTGCCGGCAGCCAAATCCCACAGGCGCAGAGTCTGATCCCATGAGCCGGACAGAGCGTAGTTGCCATCGGACGAGAGCACAACGTCGCTGATGAAGTGCGAGTGGCCGTACAAACGCTTCTGGGGATAGCCGTAGTTGGTATCCTCATCGCGGGTCAATTTCCAGACAATCAAGGTCTTGTCTATAAAACCAAGAATATATTATTTAACATAACAATTTAAATCTAAAATTATTGCTCTGATGCCCAAGTTATCGGAGGATTCAAAAGACGTCAACATAACCTCACAACTGTTAATAATACTTGCCACGAGATGCCGAGATGATGGTATCGGGATCCTTGGGATTGGTAGCAATCTGAGTGACCCAGCCATTGTGACCGATCAGCGTACCACGCAATTGCAATGTCTCAGACATGTTGAAATATTACTTATTAAATTGCAACGGGAGCGCTTTTGACACACGTCCAAAGGCGCTGCAGGCTGGCAGAAAAAGAGGCGGAAGCGGCCAGTGCTGTAAAACAAAAAACAATCGAAGGTAGCTATGATATCCATAGTAGTGCTGCCAACGTGTTTCATTGAATGCGATGAATTGTAACATCTAGAATATTATTTATTTGGTATTAATGTCACCGTAGAGTACAGCCACACTGTTTGACATCTTAGGTCAAAGTAGCCTTTAGGCCGAAATATAAATACACCGACACACAAGATGAGTTTGGCGCAACAGGAGCCAGCCGCAATAAATCCACGTAACCCTCATGGCCTTGGTAAGTCAAGCAGTATTAAATTTGTTATTAGATTTTAATATACTTGCCGCCTATAGGTGATCCGAATGACACAACGTTGCGCAAGGTAGAGCGAGAGGTGTTAATACCAAAAATAATGCGAGATCGGGCGCGGAGCGAGCTGTGTCCAAAAGAAGTGGCTGATTTTGAGGAATGCTGCAAGGCCAGCAGCATATTCATGGTGGCCACCTGTCGCAAGCAAAACTCTGCGCTCATGGACTGTCTTTCTCGCTGGTATAAAAACGAAGCCTTCAAAGAAGAGTGCAAAGCAATCTACTTGCAAGAGCGAGCGGAATACCGCAGCACGGGGATACCCAAGAAGAATCGTGTGGAGAAAATTTAGTTTACTCTTGTTATTGTTTCTGTTTACTTTGCACAAAAGATGTGTAGTTAAAACGCCGTATCACAGTCTCGTCAATGGTCAGGCATTCAAGTGCCGCCGGTGTGGGCAACGCAGGATCAAAGTCTTTCGGTTCGTTTACTCCAAGAATGAGCACATCTTTGTCTGAGGTTTCAGCTACGCGTTGAGCACCTTTCAAATTCTTGCCCACGTAATGGGTGTTACTAATATAGGCAGAAGTGTGCACGAGCACCAAGAAACTAGCATGAAAGTGTCGTGGTCCTTGTTTGTAGATGACTGTGAAAAGGCGATAAAAAAAATTACAAGCTGTTTTATTTCTACAAATTGCCGGAAAAGCACTTACGAAAATCACCACCAAATTTAATGCCGCTCTTAATTATCCAATTCTTAGATTTTAGATACAAATATGCAGCCAGTTTAGAGATAAACTCTTTGTCATATTCCAGTGCTGCTTTAACATACTCTTGCCAGGTAATGTCTTTGTCCAGAGTGTCTTTTATCTCCAGTATGTCTAAATAGTAGGCCAATACACATGCCTCCTCCAAGCCAAGCAGAAGCGTTTCGTCTGGCTCTCCAGAAATTGGGCCACCGCGTGAATTACTTCCTTTGCCGTAGCAGCCGTTGTCGTGTAGAATCCTTATTGGTTTGTGTTTGGAGTCCGCCACTTCCACAGAGAGTCCATTAAAGACACCTTGGTAACGTTGTCCGTCAGGGTTTGATGGGAAGGGCGCAAATTTAATATAGTCTTTAAAATTGCTTCGCTTGCGTTTGAAATTCGGCGTGAATTCCATAATTTACCCAATTCACTGTTTATAGTCGAATGACACTTGTTTGATTTGAATTCAAATTATTTGGTGCCTGCTCTTAATTAATCTGTGGGCAGTCGAACAGAAGTGATTTTAAGCGGTAAGAGAATATGTGCCACTATAAATGATTAATAATATATAAAATGCACATAAGGGCACATTTCTTTATTTAGTTTATTCGCCGCAAAAATGTTAATGTGTGACCACAGCTTGTTTTGCCATTCACATTAAATTGCCAACACAGTGAAATGCGTGCAGGGTGGCAACGCTAGAACGCGGCGAACTCGGCGAATAAGTCACAAGACCAGTCAGCTGAATTTCGGTGCTGTCGCATTAGTGTGAAAAGACACTCGTAATTTAATATATTTTTTCCTAGATATTTCGATTGAAATTGTGTGCAAACGCGCGCAACACTACAAATATTTCGCATCAATCTCGACGCACTAAAAAACAGCCATCAAAATGACCACCGCACTGTATCTGCCCGAAGAAAACATTGGTAAGTGCCACCAGCTGACCTCTGTGAAAAATCGAAGTGCTGCCCGTGCAGCCAACCCCTCTGGCCGAATGTTGCAGAAAATGATTAACTATGAATGCGTTTGCATTTTACAGATATGATTGCTGCTACTTCGGTGCTGCAGCAACAGGCAGCCGATATACGCACCAGGAGCATCAACTGGGCTTCGTACATGCAGTCGCAGATGATCAGCCAAGAAGACTATCAGGTTATTAGCTCTTTGGATAAATCACGCGCTTCCTTTTTGGCACAGAACTCAACGCAGGTGGTGAAGACAATGCTGAATCTGGTCTCGCACCTGTCCAAGGACTCGACCATTCAGTATATACTCGTGCTGCTCGACGATTTGCTCCAAGAGGATCGCTCTCGTGTCGATCTTTTCCACGAGACCTCCGGCAAGATGAAGCAGTGCGTCTGGGGACCATTCTTGAACTTGTTGAATCGTCAGGATGGCTTCATAGTCAACATGTCATCGCGCATATTGGCCAAGTTCGCTTGCTGGGGTCATGAGACGATGCCCAAGTCTGACCTCAACTTCTACTTGCAGTTCCTCAAGGACCAATTGGCCAGCAATGTAAGTAGATCAAAGCACAAGCTCCAAGTCCATACCCATTCCAACTCCTCTCCCTCAATTGCATGTTTATGTTGTAAATAGAACTTTAGTCAGGTACACTAGGTAAACCTATATCTATGTAAATATATCTATAGCATGAAGCATGATATTTTCTTTATCGGTTTGAATTGATATGTATATAGAAGTTTATATATATTGATTTTGAACGATTCTAACAGTATTTATTTAGTTTGTATAATCGCATGTTAAGAAATATATAAGAAATATATATACAGCGAAAACTCTAGCGAGCGAACAACTGCAATTATATTAAGTAAATATTTGATTGCATTAAGAAGTTTCATTTCACTTATAACTACGATGAACGAAGTAAATCTCATACACATGGACGTGAATCTAACAAGAACTACACATTCATGCAGTCGCGACCAATAAGAATGGGGTATTAATGGATGGGAGTCTAATAAGAAATATGCACTGTTTCAAATGAAGCTTTAGAGAAAAGCTTGTTAATTGAGAAATTCGTTTTAATAGTTCGATGTCAATTAAGCTCTGTTGTGTTTAGGAAACTATACATTTTTATCGACTCTGATATGGATTTCTTAATTATTTTAATAATATAAGAATGGTTAAGAAGTAAAATTTACAAATTCAATGTGAAGAAGTCATAAGAACTCAATCTGATTGAGGTATACAGTACAGTAAAGCTGTTCTACTTACTAGTACTACCTCTATCTTATAATTATAGTCAACTACAGACCTGATGACTGTATTGACATGACCATTAATGTAAAAATTTGTGCTTTTGAGGAATATTTGCTGCAAGAACTTTTCATATATAAAACAAATACTTTATAAGAACTATACAGCACTTTTTGACAGTAAAATATTCTTAAGTCTAAGAGTGTAGAGCTCGACTGTTTAAGCTGTTTGTATTAGCGCATGGCGAATCAGGAATGTATTACGGTATTCTTGTTTTTTTTTTTTATCTAACGGGGTATATATTTGGCTAAAATACAGTTCAACTTCGAACTAAAAGACTTAAAAATTTTGTTTGATTGCAACTAACCGAATAAATAAATCTGCACGCTTTTTGTTAGTTATGTTTGCCTTCCAAATCGTACTAAACTGATTAAACCACAGTGAGAACCCTCTAAAAATGAGACGTGAATCAAGCATTAGTCAGGTTTTTGGCCAACAACATTAGCCTTGCGTATATAAAAATGTCTTTCATTTGTAATGTGACTCTTTGGCTGTCTGTGAGCGTGATTAAAGTATTCGACTCGTGTTCTGTGTACACGATTTTGTTTGGCATCCGATTTCATTGAATCACGCAACTAAAAGATAAAAAACAAATAAAAATCAAATTGAAATTAAATGATAAAGATGTTCGTATAACCGTTGCGACAAGTCCAAAAACTATGCTCAAAAGATCATCGCACCGCATCGCATCGCATTTGAGTGTGTGCCGTGGAGAACTGAGAGAACATCAGCACCACCAGCACCACCACCACCTGCACCATCTGCACAACCAAACAAACAAATCAATAATAATATTAAATAATCCTTACGTTTACTCGTTCCGATTTATGTGTCTTCTGCCGTCCCCAAACGCAAAGTCATCCGAAAGCAAAAAGTTCAACTCTTGCAATGTTTTTTGTTCAACTTTTTGTTTGCTTTGCGAATCAAACATAACTTTTCTTGTATTTATTATTTAATGCCAATTTACAATTTAAACCAACAACAACATCTACGAATCAATTATGTTAAACACCAATAACTGAATTACCAATCGATCAATCAACAAACACAAACAATGCGGATGCTGCGCTGCTGACCCCAAAACCGAATATAAAACCTACGACCCACGCACTCTGACACCCAACACGAACTTAATTAGAGCACTGCCTATCTGCAAGAGATGGCCCAGCTGGCCAAGCGGGCGCAAACGATAATTGTGCACTCGCATGGACAGCATGGCAAAGATCATCATGGCAACCAGTACAGTCCCAATATGGTCCAGCTGCAGCAGCGCCACGATCTGGCCAATGAGAGCTACCGCGAAGTGCGCACCTCCTCCGCCTTCGATCAGCAGCAGGATGGCAAATGTGTTATACCGGTATTCCAAATGCAGCCCAAAAGCTATCCAATCACCACACTCACCCAATCCAGTTACACACACACACAAGAATACACAAAACAAAATATCAAATTATCAAACAAATATACAGCGCACACAGACACAGAGACATACGCACACCCACCCACACACACCTGTAAATTTTACTCGTTTATGCTATATGGCAAAGATATGCAAAGCTTATTCAATTTCCTATAAAGGCTAGAATTTTCCAATTGGACTTGTGTTATTTCTGATAAGCACTTACAAATTCTATGAGAATTCCATTTTCATGCTACTCTAAAGCTCCCTTATTGACATTGAATTAGATTTTTGATTTGAATTTTATTTTTGATTATTTGGAAATTTCAATGTATATGTTTCCTAATTGAATTTGATTTTAATTTAAATCTTTTTAATTTTATATTTGATTTTAATTTAAATTTAATATTTCTTAAAAGTAATGTTATTTTTCTTAAAGCATTTTAAAGTAGAATTGAAAAGAAATTTATTTATTTTATTTTTGTTATCAGAAAAAACTCACATGTCTCCCAATGCATAAACGTTGTGTGAGTGCGTGCGTGCGTGTACGTGTGTGTGTGCGTGTCTATATATATACATATATATATCAAAAGATAACTGTTTACTAACTCCACTAAATATCATCGATCTAAATTAAAGATGAGCAGCAGAGCAACAAATGTATAAAGCGTTAATTGATTATAACTTTAAGGTAAAGGTAAAGGTGTAAAGGTAATTAAAAAAAGAAGAATTTTGTTACGCAAATCGGTGTCGGTGTGAACGCAATACACAAACAAAAACAAACAATTGACATGCCCATTATACGGATTTCCAATGCAGGACAGCTACTGCAACTGCCTTTGCTGTCCTCTGTGAAACATCTACTTTTATTATATTTTTTTTTTGGTATGTTAGAGCACAATTCTCTTTGTCTGTCTCTTCCACTTCCACTTTCTCTCTCTTAAGTAGCTGTAGTAACTGTTGTGTTGCTGTTGTTGTAGCGCGTAGTCCAAACAACTTTCAATTGGAAAAAAAATATATTTCAAAACAAAAACTGTCATAACTAACTCGCTACTAAAATAAAAAGCTGTTAGTGGTATATGATCCCTATTAATATCGACTGTTGCCTTCGCAGAACAACGAGTACATCCAGTCGGTGGCACGCTGCCTGCAGATGATGCTGCGCGTGGATGAATATCGCTTTGCGTTTGTCAGCGTTGATGGCATCAGCACTTTGATACGCATCCTATCGACGCGTGTCAACTTCCAGGTGAGTTTGAAATTGAAATGTCTAAATTGTTTGGTACAATTTAAATTCGATTTCTTATTCATAGGTGCAATACCAGCTGATCTTCTGTCTGTGGGTGCTGACCTTCAATCCTCTGCTGGCTGCCAAGATGAACAAGTTCAGCGTTATACCTATATTGGCTGACATATTGAGCGATTGCGCCAAGGAGAAGGTCACACGCATCATTTTGGCCGTCTTCCGCAATCTGATTGAGAAGCCCGAGGACTCGTCTGTGGCCAAGGATCATTGCATTGCCATGGTGCAGTGCAAGGTGCTGAAGCAGTTGTCGATTTTGGAACAGCGTCGCTTCGACGACGAGGACATTACAGCCGACGTGGAGTATCTGAGCGAGAAGCTGCAGAACTCTGTGCAGGACCTTAGCTCATTCGACGAGTACGCCACCGAGGTGCGCAGCGGCCGCCTTGAATGGTCGCCCGTCCACAAATCGGCCAAATTCTGGCGTGAGAACGCTCAGCGCCTCAACGAGAAGAACTACGAACTGCTGCGCATTCTGGTTCATCTGCTGGAGACCTCGAAGGATGCCATTATTCTGTCCGTTGCCTGTTTCGATATTGGAGAGTATGTGCGTCACTACCCACGCGGCAAACAGTGAGTTCCCAGGATCTACCTTAACCTCTTTGTTCGTGTCTAATATACAGTTGCCTTATAGTGTGTTGGAGCAGTTGGGCGGCAAACAGATTGTCATGCAGCATCTGGGCCACGAGGATCCCAATGTACGCTATGAGGCTCTGCTGGCCGTGCAAAAACTGATGGTACACAACTGGTTAGTATGATATAAGTGGATACTCAAATCTAATCATATGCACACCTGTCGCACTCAGGTGACGCTCGATAATCACACTCGCATTTTTTGAAAGTTGATCAACGTATTGTTGAATAATCTCAAGAGCTCTATTCAAAATTAGCATAGTCAAACTCAAAATTCATGTTTCTTTTATCGTATTTCTAATAGGGAATACTTGGGCAAGCAGCTGGAGAAGGAGAACGAGAACCAAAAACAAGGCGCAGCTCCCATTGCTGGCAAGGCCTAAGGCGCTCAGCTATACCATGTACAACCGTTAGCCAAGTGGGTCGCCAACTTGTTTCAAAAAACTTAACTAACAATAAGAGTTGGGGGCGTGTCGTCCACCTCCATCTCCCACCCCATTAACAAAATATCGTTTTATTTCTTGCTACCATTTAAGCGCATATTTCTTTGTCCTAATCAGTAAACTAAGTTCCATGGCGAATCTATTGCGGATTCCAGATGGTGCCAGCGTTCGTTAAAACTAATTAATTGTTGCTCTTTGTTGGCATTCCGAACCACTAGAGAGATACATAGAGGAGAGTGAAAGTTAATTAGACAAACTGAAAATATATACACACACATACACACAAACACACACACACACACACAGAGTAAATTCTATATTTGTTTTTGTCTGTTTTGTTTATTTTCGTTATTATCGTTTTAAATATTCTAATTTGCGCTGTGCTGTACAGAGGTTTTCTCACGATTTCAACCAAAAGTCTAAATAGTAAAATTGTATTATATATTAACGCATCGGCGCACATGTACAACCTATCAAGTATTTCTTTTCTTTAAAGCAAAACATATATATGGAAAAAATCAAAGAAATAAATGCAATATAAAATAAATGTTATTAAGCGTGTGAATAATAAATAATACAAATTGCCTGTGCAAAATTGTTTATGAAAATCACATAAAAATAATGCATTGAATTGTTATTAAAGTGTATGATAAATTTTTGAATGTATAAAAACAATATACATAAATAAATGTAATTGAAAATCATAAATATCTTGTAATATATTTATTCGGACCTAGAGAGCTAGAATGTTATTCAATACCTAGTGAGCTTTAAAAGCTCGCCTCTCTCTGTCTGTGTGCTTTTTGGTTGTGTAAAGCTTTTAGAATGACTCGTGATATCGGCTCTTCAAAATTTTCCCTTTTCTACGTTATAAAGAAAAACGAGTATAAATTCGGTTTTATTGTTTTGTTTTTATTTAATTTGTTGTTATGTTTCTCGTGGGCGTCACAATTTATTCGGCTTTAAATTAGTTATATCCACTTTATAAATTAAATAATGTAATTGTCCTATTTAAACTTTAAAATTAACATAATTGTATTTTTATGTTCAGTATCCTGATTTGTTATTATTGTGACCCAAATACAAGCCGTCGTTAAGATGAGCCTCGGATGCGCTACTGCCACGCTTCCGTAATGATATAGCTCGTAATACAGAGTTTACGTGTAGCTAAGAGGTGGTGCTGGATTCGGATGTGGGTAGATGGTAGTGATTCCTCCTTACTTGGTAGCCGACTTCAGGTAGGCAATCAGATCGCCACGCTCGTTGGGCTTCTTCAGACCGGCGAAGATCATCTTGGTGCCGGGGATGTATTTCTTGGGGTTCTCCAGGTATTCGAAGAGCGTGTCCTCGTTCCAGGTGATACCCTTGGCCTTGTTGGCATCTGTGTAGGCAAAGCCGGCAGCCTGGCCGGTCTTGCGACCGATCAGACCATGTAGGTTGGGGCCAACCTTGTGCTTGCCACCGGCCTCGACGGTATGGCACTGCGCGCAACGCTGCACGAACAGCTTCTTGCCCTTCTCAACATCACCAGCAGGTACGCCCATTTTAGTTAATAAATATTTGATGTGTTAACACCGACTCGACTGAGGGAAAGAGAAAGATAGAGGAAAACGTACTATTAGAATCGTTATATAAACAACAAATAAGTTTAACGTTGGCAAATTTATTTTTATCAACATCCGACGCATTAATTGGTCTTGCTGATAACAGCACATGCCACCCATTAGTAGTGCATTGTACTAAACCGTTAGATTATCTAACATTCTATACCCCAAGCCCGCCAGCCCGCCCAAAGTTCATTCAACGTTCTTAACGTGCCAGAAGACGAACAACGTCACCAGACACACAGACACGCACTCACACCTACACACGATCTGGTCACATGTTGACGTCTCAGTGCTGCTCGCTTTTTGCTCTCAAAGCTAGCTTCAAGGCGAAAAAGCTACATTTTCGTCGCTAGCTCAATATTATTTAATTTCCAGATTTTAAATAAAAAAATGTTACCTAAGCTACTTAAATTATTCATGCATTATATCAATTATTTTATAGATAATAGAGCTTCATTGCATACAATCTTTTTAAGTTTTCACACTTTAAAAAAGCTATATTTGGCTAAAAGCACAGGTACCATCACTGTGTTTCACCATCATAATTTAAATTCTAATTGCGTCAGATTTTGCTGCCGCACAGCAACAGTCCAAACTCCAATAATTCTTCACATTCCCAGCAAAACACTTTCAGGGTCTGTGTCGCGGTCAACATATCGCAGTCCAACGGCTTATCTGGTGACTAATTACATTGCATGCAGTTATGCGAACTTGAATGAATTGTTGCATGCGAGACATAAGCTGCAGTGCAATGAGTAAGTCACCTACACGAGCAGTCGAACGCGCACACATAACCATAGACACGCGCACACGCACACACACACTTTTTTTATTTTAGAGAGCGAATGATTACATGAAAGACTACAATGTCATCTAACTGTGGCCTTGGTGAGATAAATAAAACCACTTTTTCTATAGGAACTGCATTGGAAGCAGGCCAACTACTGATGCTTCAGTCTATGTGTGTATGTGAGGATGCGTGAGAGCAGGTAAAAGCGAAATTGGGTTAGTGTTCTTGCAAAAGTAGAGTCGCTTACATAAGCGACCTGCGATTTTTCAGCAGAGGCAAAATGGAGCTAATGGGCAATGGAATCGCAACTTGCTTAGCAACCACGTGGCGAGCGGGTTAAAATTCTGAGCAATGGAAGAAACTTTTCCTTAAGAAAGCGTGCGAGCGAGATAGCAAATGATCGTGTGGCCTTTTTAGTAGTAGATTTTTGCTCATGTAATCGACTCGCAATCTTTTTAATGTCAATGTGACTCTTTGTTAGCACATCCACATATTTATGTATGTGTACACTGTTCTCATATGTTACATTAATAATAGTTGTTAGATTTTGTACTTTTGCATACATATTTAGCACATGTATATCACAAGTATATACACACACACACAAACACCCTTGCAGTCAGTCACACGTTTATGTAACGCAAACAACCCCCAAAAAATTAAATTTGCGTGGGATTTGTAGCTCAGATTGAGCATCTATGCGATCATACATTATATGAGAATTTTAAAGGCAATTAACACTGAACTATATGTACACTTTGAACACAATCAATAATTATTCAGGGTATTATACATTAATATATTTACGTCATTAGCAAACTCCCGCTACTTACATTGAACACAAACCGTCTTTTGCTGCGAACAGTTAGCTTACGAATGAGACAACAAATCCCAATTTGTTCAAATGATTGTTTTTGACGATTGTCGTTATCGTTAATACATCGAAACATCGATATATTTTTTAAAGCGTACGATACTCAATTTTAGATATGCATGTACTTATAGCTTCAATAGTCAATCAATAAACATGTCAATTTACTTTAACTTTGTCTTCTGCGGAATAAGTACATTAAAAAACGTTATTTATTTATAGTAGACGTCTCGATATCTGTAAGATTATTGTGTTTCTATTGCTAGGCATACAAATGCTGAATGATATTGCATTTTCAAAACAATTCCACGCGCGTTCATCTAGCATTTCAAAATTGTTTATGTTTTTCATTCTTTATTTATATATATATTTTTTATATCGATGTTAAAAATTTTTAACTTGTCTGAATATTATGTTTTCTATTATGTTATTTTGTTTAAATTTAATTCGCCGAAAAGCTGCATGCTCTGGTATTTACAGACATTTTTAATGCCAACAGCAGCTGATGTTGACAAAAGCTGATATAAATAATAGTTGGCGGTAAATTTAAAATTTAAATAACAAATTTTATTAATATAAATTCTAAAACAGTTCCCTTTGTGAATTATTTATCAAAGTAATGTTCCCAAATTTATTTTCTTTTCATATTGTTTTCAGAGTTGCTTAAACTATTTGTTTGATTTGAGGAATGCAATCAGATCAGCGCGATCTTCGGCCTTTTTAAGACCGGGGAAAACCATTTTAGTGCCGGGTATAAATTTCTTTGGATCCTTCAGATACTCATCCAGATTGGCATCCGTCCAAACGATACCCTTTTTGATATTAGCGTCTGTATATTTGTAACCAGCAGCAGATCCACATTTGCGCCCAACAATTCCGCCAAGATTAGGACCCTGCTTGTGCTTGCCGCCAACTTCGGCGGAGTGGCATTGGGCGCATTTCTGAACAAAAATCTTTTTGCCATTCTGCGCATCGGCACCCATCTTGTAATATGGGATTCCTAAAATCAACGAAAGAAAATAGTTACGTTTACTTTTTTAGCTCAGTTCTCATGGCTCAACAAAAACAAAGCGTCACGTGGCCTTCAGCTCACGCCTCAAGGACATTCGTGACATGCGAATAGGAGGCTTGGGCAGGCAAAGGATGGCTGTTTGGCTGGATTAATGTTTTTTGTTTGTTGTTTTTCCTTTTTTTTTTTTGTTAAAGTTATGTCACGACGCCAGTGTGAGCCACGCAGTCTGCCAAGTTAATTGCCTGACTCCGAGTGGGTGTGAATGTGGGTCGTTACGTGAGTGCATAGTAAATGTGAAAAACGTGGCTAACTGCAGTCTTAGCCGCTAACCCGCGTGCAAAAAATAGAATCCGTCGTCATAACTAGCAATTCATGAGCATATGCCCATACGTATATACATATGAATATGCATAATTTTTGCCTATTCATTTGCTGTTTTGTATTCTATTTATAGCAGACAATTTAAGTGCTGCCAAATAAACGGGTGTGTGCATATATGTATGTGTGTGTGCGTGTGCGCTCACTTAAATTAATTTAAATATGTATCGATGATGACAACTGTTCGCTCTCTCATTTCTTTTTTGCTGATGCTTTTATATTTTTGACACTCTCAGTTGCAAGCGAGTGCAAGTGACAGAGATGGCAATAGCATAGGAACTGGGTCATATAAATGAAAAATGGCTAAAATGGAATGAATAAAAAAGCGGAGCGCACGACTTTTGCCTCAACGTCTAATAGTATTGGTAAATCGCGGGCTATAAACAAAGGAACGCACGCATTTATATGTATATGTGCGTGTACATAATTCAATTAGATCCGTCCATTCCCCCCGGGCAACGCAAGGTCCACGAACATGTGCTTTGAACATTTCCCTTCAATTAAAACGCATTTTACGCATGTTTCTTGTGGCTCAGGCAAAACCAGATGCCGCCAAACATTAAAGCACAAAAGTAAAAAGGGAAATACTGGAAAGGGAAGAAGACACCGCAAAGGCAAGAAAGAGCAAAAGCCTGAAAATAACTGTAAGTGCGCTGCTCTTAGGGCTCTGCATTAGCCTGCAGATAACGGTAACTAAAAGAACGTTGAGTTCATGTTATGCTGTTTAGCAGAAGGCTTTGCATCAGGTGTTTTATTCACTGTGTGCTGCTGACCTAACCCAATTTGTGTTAGCTATAAATCTTTCATATACAGCAACTGCTGCTTCTGCTGCTGCTGTAACCTGCAGTTGGCTCCTGACCGACGGCTACTATAAATAAATGACGCCTGGAATTGAATTACGCTTCAGCTAACAAATTATGTGGAAGCAAGGTTTAGCGAGGAGCGGCGACTGAAAGAGTAGCATAATTGTTTACTGCGATGCACTGCAGTAGTAGTCTATAAAAATCATGTGGGTCGCTGGGTCAAGAGGACAAAAGTAGGAAGAAGGAAAAGCAAAAGCAATTTAGAAAAAAAAAAAACCAAACTGACATTCACATTGCTCACGTGGCTATTGCGAAGTTTTGTTGCTGTTGCGCAATTTCGCTTTGGCTTTGATGTCGCCCGAATAAGAAGAAAAAACTGTGCCCAAACCACCTACACACAGTAACACCCGCTGTTATGGGCTATGTGGCTGCATAGAATAAAACCCTACATTTTCATTGTGTACGTTGCTGAATGTTTATTTTGTGTTGTTCCTGTGCGCTGCTGTTGCTGCTGGGGGCTGCCATTTTTCTAGAACGAGGTCGCTGACTGCCCTTCAACGCCTGAGACTGTGAGACTGAGACAACGTCAAGTTACATAAGCAGCGCAGTAGCAGCGTCAACGTCGTCAGTTGGTTTTGGCTTTTATGCTGCTTCTTTTCAAATTTCCCTCATTTCACATTTACATGCAGCGCACACAGAGCGTAAGCGAGAGAGAGAAAGAGTCGAAGAGAGAGCGTGTGTGTCCCTTGCAGCTGCATTAGCAGCGTGGGAAAAGTGAATGAAAAATTGCTATAAATTTTTATCAAGTGATATGCATCAATTTATAACTTTTTTAGTGCACTCAGCAACGTACATGGCAATGCATATAGATATTAACATGTATGCACTGCAAGCGAGTGCAGCGTATGGGCAGCGCAGCAACTGCAGCAGCAGCAACAAATAGTAACAATACGCTCACCTGCTTGACGACTCTCTTGAGTAACGGTCTGTGCTTGTTGCTCTGCCTCCCACTATTTCTATGCTGAGCGCAAAGCTACGGTGCTTTTGCGTTTGATTTTGCCTTTGCTTTTGCTGTTGTTGTCGATGTCGATGTCGCTGTCGCCGTCCACGTCGCTGTTAATGTTGATGTTAGTGTATTTGCTCTCACGCTCTTCGCTGCTTTTGCTACGTTAAGGCTGTTGTCGGCTGCTCGAGCGTTGCGTCCGTTTTCATTCAGTCAGCTGAGTTCGCGGCGCAAGGTTCTCGTCTTATTCGGGCTCTGCTATCCAAAACAGTTCGTAACGTTCTCGAGTTTTACGCGTCGTGTGAATTGGGAAATACAACATAAAAGTTACGACGATTTTGCTTAATAGAACGGAAAATTTGTTAGCAGCGTCGAAAGCTTGCTGCTCTCTGATCTATTCTCTCTGATTTCTCACTAAAAATACAAATCTAACGATAGCTGTCAGAGGCCTGCTAGATTGTCAGCCAAGAAAAAAAACATATCTCCAAACGTAGTGTCTCCCCAAAGGCACTGCCAACTAAAAATTATAACGGTAAGTCTTGCCAACTTCAATTCAAAACGAAACCAGTGTTGTGTAATGTCGGTTAACTTTTGTATTAAAAGACGTCAGTTCTTTGAGTGCCCTTGGTTGCCTGTTGTCCTTGAATGCGTAAAACCAACTGGCTATCATTTGAGTGTATGTGTGTATGTTACGCATTTTACGTAATCAGTAGAAGTTTACGCTTTGCGTTTAATTCCAACGTAAAGCTAAGCTCACTTTTATTTGTTTTTAAGCCCTTATTTAAGCAACAACACATTTACTTTATATATATATATATATATATATATATATATATATGTATTTGATGAAGTACTACGGGATGTTTTTCATGGCTGAATTATGTACATACATATATACAGTCTGAATATTTTGGAAAATATTTTTGTGTGTTTTCTAGTTGAGGTGGAAATTGTAGGCATGCGGCAACTGTTGCTCGTCGATAGATAAATAAAAAATGTAAAAATATGAAATTAATCAGAATTATTTTGTGGAATATTCAAGGCAAAAAAAAATAAATCTGTTTTATGTGCCATGTCACACGATTAATGAAAGCTTCAATTGTTATGCGCTTGGCATTTTAATGAAGTTTCCTTCGAGCCTTTCGCAAGAATGTTAATTTCATCTCATATATCTGCGTTTTTATGTCCTTCTACTTGCCTCCAGCCAAGCACTCAGGCAACATTAACAGTGTGCCTTTGTTTATTAATTACTTTACTTAGCTCTTAACGTGGGCTAGCCTAGTTGGTCTGTATATAGGCCAATTGTAGTGTAACAGCAGGCATCGGCCTCAGCTCATATCATATTATTATTAATTTGTTTTATGTGCCAGCACTTGGAGTACATAATTAATTTTAATTAGGAATGAACACAATTGATAGAATGTTTGCCAATTAATTGAATGTTGTCAGCATAATACTAGATATATACGCATATACAAACTAGATATCCGTTTAATATAATGCCGCGGCAGCTGTGCTCGCATTTTATTTGGGTCAACTTCAGAGCCACGTTGCCCCATCTTTCATGTGTTCCGTACTTTTATCATATCGTTAAATGCACTTGGCTCCAAAAAAAAAAAAACATATTTGGATGATAAATACATACGCACATATACATACAGACAACATATGTGCACATTGAGTGCCCGATTTTTGGTTTGGTTTGTACGAATAGTTCCAAATTATCGTCGTGTTATCGCTTAAGTTACATTTATACCAAGCCAAGGGCCACGGCAAATCAATATTTGTGGCCCAAATAAATAAAAAAACGGAAAAAAGAGAAAAAGAAAAATGAAATGAAACCCAAAGCGGAGCATTAAGCAGATTATATCACCACACAGCTCTAGCACTATGGGGGCGTGCGACCACTTGCCCGATAAGACGCAGTTTTCCATCTATTATTTTGTCCACCATCTCCAGCCCCCTTACCACTCTACTCTTGTGCATCTTTTATTGAAAAACAAATGCAATAAAATGTAATGAAGGGCGTTAAAGTATGAGACCCGAGCCACAAAGCCAACTCAGATTTGTGCTTAAAGCATTTGCCTTGGATTTAAGTTTTTTAGAGGTGTTTTATGAGCTTTCTTTCGTTGGTCTGATTTTGGTAATATTTTATACAAAATTGTTGAGAGTTGAGAAAGAATATTTTGATGGAAATATAAAAATATCAAAATATATATATTTTTTATTTAACATGTTAATTATTAAATATTAAAAAATAATATTTTATATGCATTTTAATTTAAATATTAAAAACAAGAATATTTTATTAGAATTGATATAAAAAAAGTCTTGAATTTTTAAGAAAGTAATATTTATTCAGAATTTACACCTTCAATAAAAAATTAATATTTTAGACTTTTATTTTTATATATTTTTTTAATAAAATATTTTAAAAATAATTCTTTAACTGACAGACAAATTAAAATTTGAAAGTATTGATATAAATAATTATTATATTATACAATGCCGTTCAAGTGAATAGGTTTGATTTCAAAAAATTATGTTTCTTCGATTATAATGAGATAATTTTTGTTATATGAAAAAGTCAATCATTTTTAAGATTTTAGTCCACAATAAATTTAAAGTAGCTAAACCACAGAGACCTAACCTGGATTGCCTTTGAATACTTACATAATTTTATTTGTCTACTTCACTTCATTTCTCTTGGCCAAGTTATAAAAAGAAAATTTAATTTGGTCTCACATTCGCTACTTTCTCAGCTGATATTCAATCACTCCGCTAAGACTTATACAATTAGAGCTGACTTATGATGATGGCATAGATAAATCTTATGCAAATTGCTGCTGGCTTAAGCAAAACATTTGCCAACGACTCTCTGCCAAATTAATGATCCGCCAGCAGCTGAGGCCCGCTGCAAAAGCGACCCAACCTCTAGAAGCGCAGAGAATAAGATAAAACTGAATAAAGATAAAGCTGATGAAATAAACAAACGAAGTGCTGCGAATTGATGGAAATGCAAAAGAAATTTATTAAATTCTGATGGAGCTGGGCACAGTCTGAGTGACTGCCAATTAGACTTAATCGAAAATCGATGAGCATTCCAAGCAGACAGAGAGCAGCAAAAAGTTCAAATTGGAACGAGCGCAAAAGAGTTGATCAAATATGCAAATGGTGTTTCGGGTCAAATTTGATTAGAGGTGTGGCTCAGGTGTGCGTTGCGTGTGGTCTCCAGCGCGGCAAAAAAACTAAAAGTCATCTTTGCTTACAGAGACACACTCTCCCCCTCCCCCTCTGCCTATCCCTCTCCATCTCTCTCTATCTCTGCCTGGCAGACAAAGAAAAACACTTGAAAACTGGAAAATTTCAGTTAGTAGTTGGATACAGTTTATTTGAATTTTTTTCTATTTTCCAAATTAATTTGAAACACGTTTGTTTTCGTCGCCGTTTAACGAGCCATAAAAGCTGAGGCTGAAAATGTTTTGTTTACCGAAATGATTTCGTTTCGTTTGAAGGCCATTAGTTGTGCTTCCGCTTCGACCTCTTCTTATCGGGCGCCGTCAAACAAAACATTTTCCCATCATTATCTCAGCCCCTGCGCCGCCTCCTAACGACTGACCACGATCCACGCCACGAGCACTTGGAGTGGCGGCTCCCGCTTATAGCTAATGAGCGGCATTTGCGACAGCATCGCAATTACTTGTGGCCAACTCTGAACTTCAGTTGTTGTTTCCTGCTCTTCCTGCGCTCTTTTGTTTATTGATTTCCCATTTGTTTATTGCCCTAACTGTTTCTCATTTTAAATATTTGCATTTGTAGTCTTACGCCGCGTATGCGCAATATTTAGCCAAACAGGAAATTAAGAATGCCGCAATCTGCTAAGCAATCGGGCATGTGCCTATAATTGTGACCGTTGCTGTATCTGGCTTATTTTATTGTTTCACATAAATATACAATCGATGCGCGCAGATTGATAAACTCATTCGCCATAGTCGGCTTTCTTTTACGGCCCAAACAAATCATTAAAAATGTTTACAAAACAATGAGGTCCCATATGAGGTAGCGCACTAAACCTTTGTATAAAACAAAATTTTATAACAGTTGTGCTGCTTCTAATTGCAGTTTATGAAGTGATTAAGTTTTAGTTTTTAATGTTTTTTACAGTATTTTGGTTTTGCGTAGCTTACGATTATGTTTCCAGTTGTCTTTATGAATTGTGAAGAGTATATTAGCTGCATTGCTTTAAGCTGGCCACTTACAGCTAGAAACTTAAAGCTAGAATTTGAGATAGCTGTAACTAGCATATATAGCTTAAAACTAGAAACCTTAAGCTGGAAACTTAGATAGCCATAGCTAGAAAATATAGTTTAAAGCTAGAATCGTAAAGCTAGTATAGTAGATAGCTATAGCTAGCATATATAGCTTGCAAGCAAAGATTTAAAGCTAGAAACTTAGAGCTAGAATCGAAGATAGCTATAGCTAGAATATATAGCTCAAAACTAGAAACCTTAAGCTGGAAACTTAGATAGCCATAGCTAGAAAATATAGTTTAAAGCTAGAATGTAAAGCTAGTATAGTAGATAGCTATAGCTAGCATATTTAGCTTGGAAGCAATGATTTAAAGCTAGAAGCTTAAAACTCTGCTGAATATAGTTGAACAATTTTGTTATATACGCGAATTTGAAGGCGTGGCAAAGCTGAAAAACTATATTCGATACAGTAGAGTCAGGCTTACTAAGGTTTGCAGTGAATTACAGCAGTAGTATAGACATCCTATACAGAACTACTAAAGCCTCTATATAAGTTGCTCATGTCTTCTGTCATTTAAATACATTTAATTGTTTTTGAGAGCCTAACGTGCATTGTGCAGTCACTTGTGACTTCTTTAAATATTATTTACACAGACTTAGTGCAGCATAATCAAGTTCTTCGTTTCAGTTTTTAATGTTTTGTAACTAAAGTTTGCTTATTATTTAAATTAAATGTTATTCCAATAGATTTCTGAAAGGCAGAAACTTTCTAAGACTCAGGTCAAGCTGAAGCGAAAATGCAATATCTTTTATTGCAGTATTATACAGTTATACAGTAATGTTGCTGCTTGAGGGTGACATAACAGTTTGGAAGTCTCCAAGCCTAAGAGACCAAAATACTTAAGCTATTTCAATAAAATCTTACTTCAGTCAATTTTGTTTAGCATTTTAAAACTTTTTGTGTATTTTCCTAAATGCTTTTGAATATATTTTTGTTATTTAAATCTCTTGGCATGTCAGTATCTATAGTATTTACTGTACTGTTATGGCTAACAGTAAATTGAAGTTAGGTTAAGCTCGAAAGCCAAGTTAAGTTCCATAAACAATGCTGGCAATTTTCCACTGAATAGTTACTCATACTAGTTACTAGTTAGAGTTAGTAGTTAGTTGATTGTGGCTGTGATCAACTGACAACGGTCTCAGCTTGTATATAGAGCATTTGCATTGTCTATCCATTTGGGGGGCTCTGTGGACATCACATCTCAGTGTTTGCATTTCTCAG